TTTGATTTTACAAAACCATGTTTAGGGTCTGTTTTATTGGGATTTAAAGGTGTTTCTACTCCTGGTGTACAGTTTGAATCTACAAATAAAATAAACATTAATAATGTAAATGTGATTAGAGTAAAATGTAATATTGCAAACGGGTCCTATTTAAATGGAAACAAATCACACACCATACATAGCTTTTATCCAGAAGCTCCTCCTGGCTACAAAATTATTGAAGTTCCAAGAAATATTATATATTTTCCTGTAAATAAGAGAAGTTTAGATGTTGTCAGTATTACATTTGCCGATCAGCATGACAAGGCAATTGACTTTAATGGAGAAGAAACTACAATTACTTGTCATATAAAAAAGATATGAGAATTTATAAGAATTTATCTATAAGTATACAAAATGCTAGGTTCCTACGATCAATAGGACTAAAGTTAAAATTTTCTATTAATAAAAATGGAAGATTTTCTAGACGTTACAGGGAAATCCCAATTCGACGATAGTGTGGTTAAAATTACAAATCACTCCTATGTTCCCCATAACACTTTAGCAATAAATAATTCTGATGAAATTCGAATATGTATTAATAATCAAGATTTGCTAACTCTCCCATGTAGGAGTTATCTGTATATTAAGGGAGAAATTGAAAATCATGATAAAGGTCATTTTATAAATAATGCATTTGCATTCTTATTTGATGAAATTAGATATGAAGTCGCAGGTAAAGAAATAGACATTGTAAGAAACCCAGGAATTTCTAGTCTTATGAAAATATTGAGCTCTTACAATAAAACAACTAAATTGTCAAATGTGGCATTTGATTCTGACACGAATTTAAAAGAGTTCCATAAAAGTGGCAAGTTTAGTACTTGTTTGCCATTAGAACTGTTAATGGGTGTATTTGAGGATTTTAATAAGGTATTAGTAAATGTCAAACAAGAATTGGTGTTGAAAAGATCCAAAAATGATTTGAATTGTATATTAACAACCACTAGTGCTCCAGCCAGTGGTACTGCTGATGCAATTCCCAAAATTATACTTAACTCAATTCAATGGGTGATGCCACATGTAATACCATCAGATGGGGAGAAGTTACAATTACAAAATATGTTATTGCAAAATAAAAATTTGCAAATTGCATTTAGAAGCTTAGAGTTGCATGAACTTCCATCATATCCCAATACTACAAGACATACATGGTCAGTAAAGACATCTTCAAGTTTGGAGAAGCCTAGGTATATTATATTTGGTTTCCAAACAGCTAGGGATAATAGTGCACGAAAAAGAACTGATGAATTTGATCACTGTAAGTTAAAAAATCTCAAAGTATTTCTAAACTCTGAATATTATCCTTATAGTGATTTAAATCTCGACTTTGAAAATGGAGATGTCTCTAAAGCTTATGAGATGTTTATGAGGTTTAGAGAGACTTACTATAATACTATCCCAGATCCTATGATTAGTAGGGCTGAGTTTATGAAGAAATATCCACTAATTGTAATAGACTGTTCTAGACAGAACGAAACAGTGAAGGAAGGAATTGTTGATATTAAATTAGAGATTGAAACTGCAGAAAATGTACCAGCAAATACATCTGCATATTGTTTAATAATACATGATAAAGTGTTTGAGTACAATCCTTTGTCAAATGAGATAAATAAAATGTAAATAAAAGATGAAAAACATTCAACAAGAATTGGTTGACTCTGCAAATCAAATACGAGAGAAATATAGAGCTTTAAAACGTGGCAAGTTTCTAGAGGCTGAAGAGAGGTTTCAAACATTCCAACCTTTAATAGAGCCATTACAAGAATTAAAAAAAATCGCCAAAACAGAGAGGCCTCGAATGGAGATTCTCCCAATGACTCCATCTAGAATACCAATAATACCAAGATTACAACCATTACAGCAATCCACCCCACAGAAATTAGATTTTGGTCTTTTAGCATCAGACTATTTAGGAAATTACCTCAGTAAAAGTAGTATGACAGACACTACTACATATGGTATTAGACGAGAAGCAAATAAATTTTTTATTGGAAATAAGGAAGTTGACATTGCCAATGATGATGTTACAATTGCAAATAAAACCTACAAGGGGACAAAAGGTTTGTGGCAATTGTTAACTTTAAAAGAACCTGAGGATTATACTCCGGCTGATTTGCAAAATTATAAAGAAATTTTGGAAGCTACAAATGGACATTTAAAGAGTTACAAAGATGGTGCACCAATTTCAAGTAATAGACATACTAAATATCTTAATATAATTAAACCTCTATTTAAGTCTGTTGGTGAAGGTTTGAGACAAGTGACTGGTAATAAAATAGACTATATTTATTGGGATGATCCTAATGAGCTTGTAGATAGGTTAAGACTTCTTTGGCTAAGTCGCCAAGCCGGTAACTCAGGAGTGGATAATGAAATAGATTCCATTATTGAGGAATTGAGAGAAAGTGGAATTATTTACTAAATAAAAATATGTTTATAGATAAATTTTATCGTTTATATAATCCATATAATAAGCCTGCAGAACCCAGGGCTAGTAGTGAACCTACTTTAAATTTACAAGACGATAGTTGGAATGGTTTAAACCGTAAAATTGGTAACGTTAAAGATGGGGAGTTTGTAGATGATGTATCAACTTTGGGACAGACATTAACTAGAAAAGGTGATGTCTTCTTACAAGGTAGAACTAAATATGTGTTTTTAGAATCTAAGAATAAAAATTGGAATGCTAAAAAACAGAAAATTACTAATGTGGAAAAGGGTGAAAGTTTAGATGATGTGCCCACTTTACAACAGACTTTAATACGAACAGATGGTGGTACATTTGTACAAGACAATAATAATTATGAATTTTTAGAATCAGAGAATGGTATTTGGAATGCTAAGAAACGGAAAATTACTAATGTAGAAAAGGGTGAAAGTTTAGATGATGTGCCCACTTTACAACAGACTTTAATACGAAAAGAAGATGGTAAATTTGTACAAGACGATAATAATTATGAATTTTTAGAATCAGAGAATGGTGTTTGGAATGCAAAGAAACAGAAAATTAGTAATTTGATGGAAGGTACAGATAGTAAAGATGCTGTGAATGTTTCACAAGTTCCAAAAATGGAAGCAGGCTATTGGAGTTTTAATAGTAAAAGGTTAGTACATGTTAAACCTGCCATTGATGACACTGACTGTGTTATAAAAGAACAGACTATAACTTTTGATAAAAAAGAAAAATGTTGGGATGCCAAAAAACAATTTATAAGAAATCTACCAGAGGGGGAACATTTGGATGATATTTGTCTAATGTCACAATCTATGCATTACGATGGATCAAAATTTGTATATGGAGAAAAAAATTTTAATTTGATGGAATATAATCCTGATTTATTAGTTGCTGACCCCACATCTTTGAGTGGATTTAAGTATATAGATAATAGACCATATATACCAGAAAACTATGTATTTAAAAGAATGGAAGATAATCTATTGATTGGGGCTAATGGTGATGTATTTAGAGTTACAGGAAAGGATGATGTTATAAAAAATGAATGAAATTGCATACGAGCTTCATAAGCCTGCAAGAAAGAATTTCATTAGAAGGTCTTTTAAAGTATTGGGTATAAACGAAACCATACAAATAGATTTAGTTGATATGCAAAACTATGCTAGAGAAAATTCTGGCAATAAATATATTTTAACTTTAATAGATACATTTTCTAAAAAAGCTTATGCTGCTCCACTAAAGAATAAGACAGGGTTAGTGGTTACAGAAGCCATTAAAACCATTCTACCAAAGGGGGTTAAAAACATTCAATCTGACAATGGAAAAGAATTTTTTAATCAATATTTTAGCAAACTAATGAAAAAATTAAATATTAATCACTATCACACATTTTCTACAACTAAGGCTGCAATTGTGGAGAGGTTTCAGAGAACTTTAAAGAATTGGTTATATAGAGAATTTAGTGCTCAGGGGAGTTATAAATGGTTGGATTTACTTCCAAAGTTAATTCGAAAATATAATAATAAAGTGCATAGATCTATAGGAATGAAGCCTAACCAAGTGAATGTTAAGAATAGTAAATATGTGCATGAGAGGTTGACTTCTAAAGTAGTGCAAGTTAAAAAGCCAAGATATAAGGTAGGTGATAGCGTAAGGATTTCCAAGTATAAACATGTTTTTAGTAAAGGTTATACTCCAAATTGGACAGGGGAACTATTTACAATAGCAGAAGTTAAGAATACAAAGCCTGTGACTTATATCTTGAAAGATGAAAATGGCAATATAATCAGGGGAGGCTTCTATACAGAGGAGTTGTTAAAGACCAAGTATAAGGACATGTATTTGGTAGAGAAGGTAATTAGGAGAAAGGGTGATTCGTTGTATGTCAAATGGCTTGGGTTCCCAAGTAGCCAGAACTCATGGATTTCCACTAAGGATGTCCAAGGGAGCACATCATGAGCCGGGAGCATGCCCGAGTTCACGCACAAACCTCACATGATTTTGAAAATATACATGGGAATGGATGTGGATTTGAAATTTTAATGGAGTTTGAACATTTATATAGGCTTGTATTGGACGAGATCCAGGTCTTTAAAAAAGTGGCCAAAAAAAGCTCACCATTTCCAGACGTGATTTTTAGTATTAACAAAAGTATAAAATTTATATAGGGGTGTATAGGTCGAGAGCTGGGTCTTTAAAAAAAGTGGCCAAAAAAAGCTCTTCCATTTTTTTCTCATTTTTCCCCTATAAAAAGTGCCCTAAAAGTGCCTCTAAAACGCCGAAAGTGGGGTCATATTCTGGTATTATATCTACTCAAATAAAACTCCAAAGAGGATTTCCTGCTACCCCTTAACACAGAAATACAATTTTTACGTCGTTTTTGAGTACCAGTACTTTTCCAAAGAACCAAAACGTAACGAGAAGCGCAGTAAGATCAGACAAGTTACTATCAATTAGTGTATTCCGTTACATCAATGGGCTGACAAAGTCGTTTATTTTGCAGGAGTAGACAGCAAATCGCAATCCCAACAGAAGAAAGCCTCGTGCAAATCAAGAGCGAAAAGAAAACCACGCATCTTGTTCACTCAGGTAAGGTTCCTCGTGGTTTTATTGAGTTGGTATTTTCGAACACATCTGAAAAACTTGTAAGCATATTTTTAGTTTTCTTTGTTCATGCGCACTGTTTATATCAAAATCAATCACGTAAAGGATATCAAATGGGGCCATTAGATTGAAAGTTCTGAGATGTCATCTTGCACTTCCCCAAAACCTCAAAAGATTGTCGTCCTTTCGTCTGCTTTTTGAGTCTAGTCATGGCCTCCTCTAATACAAGCTGGGGTGAGACAAAAGCGGCAACACCACAGCCCCGGCCTACCGAAACAGCTGTTGCACTAATCCATAATGGATCTTATGCGCAATATTTATGTTTACACGTGTGTAATGCTTTTACTGTTTTTACTAACACAGCAACGTTGTCGCAAACTACCATGTCAGGGATAACCATAGATCCACCAGAGTTAAGCTCGAATAGTTCAAGACTCTTCTATGTTGGTTATCCATTGTCTGTGATTAGAAGAGGCTATGACTGCAGCGATTGAAAGTAATCATTGTATACATACTCAAATTTATAACTAGCAAATCCAATTGGATCTTCAAATTCGTTCTCTTCACGTTCACTAGCAACCAAAGTCAATGGTTTTACATGGCCTAACCGATAGTTAGCTTATTGATGTGTATAGTTAATACTTCATCCATTATGGCACAACCTCCTCTTACAAGGCCGCGGCGTTGGTGTCTGGCAACGTCGCACCGGCCTATTGCCATGGTAAACAGTGATAACTTGTGTAAACCTAAACATTACGCAGACGCTCCATTACAAATTAGTGCAACAGCTGTTTTGGTTGGCCTGGGCTGCGGTGTTGCCACTTTTGTCACGTCATGACCTTGTACTGTATGAAGCCATGTTTATGGTCAATGCTATACGTATAATCAATTTATTGGTCAGAAGACCTAATATAGGTGGGGTTTCCAACAAAGTCTAGTTTTACTTTACGTGCATGAGTTTCAGGAACCAAGGAGCTAAAGATCGAGGAAGAGTTCATGAAAGTTGATGCACTTTCTACTCCAAGATCGAAAGTCAATCATTTTCATGAACTCTCAGATAATGGCTCAACAAAGTAGGTACATCTTTCAAACATCTCGTACTTACAATGACAATTTTTCAGGCGCAAGTATACGAGCTGGAGCGAAGGTTCAAGCAACAGCGCTATCTGTCGGCGCCGGAGCGTGAACACATGGCCAACTCCATCAAATTGTCGCCCACCCAAGTGAAGATTTGGTTCCAGAACAGAAGGTACAAGAACAAGAGGTCAAGACCTCCAGAACCGCCAAAACTCCCTTGCTACTCCGACCCTCCATGTAAACCTACCCCCTCCTTTCCTCTTTACCCCCCTCCGCCGGAGTACCCTCTGGACTACCCCCTTCCGTCGTTCGACCACACAGCTTCCTACAAACAGGAGTGGACGTGAGGTGGTCAAAGTTGATTTTGTAATTATTGTATATTATGTTATTACATTACGAGTTAAGCTGTAAAGTGTGCCAAAGCTTTGAAGGACTATAGAAACCACTGTACTAGAAATGCAACTGGAGGTAGGACTGGCATAGCAACTGCTAGAAAATACAGACGCTGGAAAATTGTGTTAGGTACCAACTAGAGGAATCAACCAGCTCGTCGACTTTATTAAAATCCCACAATCCCATATTCCTCGAGCTCCAATATACTAATGTATTTTAACCCTAGTAATAATAGCGGCTAACGTATAACAATTTTCTCAGTGCTTCCTCCAGTTGTATCTGAGCTCAGTGATAGGAACAATACCTGAAATACATTTCTCCATTTTTCTGTTAAATCTAAAACCAAATTGTATTGTACCAAGGTATATCCCAACGGTACCATTTTAGCCAACGTTTTATAAAGATAGAACACAGCTGAATGGTCCACACACAGATTCAACCAGTGCCGAAATTCAATTTTCTCTCTTCGCATCGTATTATGCGTTATGTCTATGATATGAAAGTATGAGTTATGTGTTATTTTTTACGTTTTGATGGGTTATCTTTATAGGTATTAAAAGTATTTTCGTTTTTGTAACATAGTTTGTTTAAATATTAGTGCAATATGGCGAAAAATATAGGTAATTCACTTTAATCTTGAGCTCGCGTCGAAAAGAGTCTTTTTTACGCCCTAGTGATGAAATATGTTATTCTTACAACGTTATGATTTATTTCAACAAACGTGTACTTATTATGGACGTATTACTAATAAGCTATTAATTGTTGTACATTAATATTTCGTTGAACATGCCGAAGCAATAGAGAGATTCTAGGAGTTTTCAAATAATACATATTTTGTTTAATGTATTTAATGTATTTTCCATATTATAATTTTAATTTCAATTCCGTTCCACGTTGGTATTTAGTAAAATATAATCGCTAGTAACGCAATTAGGAGTGACGGAAATTGGGATGTTATTTTTTTCGCAAGCAAATAATTTTTTTTTAAATATGTAATGCTTAGTAATCATTGACCCAACGATCCTAGTAAAATAATTAGTTAAAAGCTTAACTCCATGAAATAAATTACAAGCAAGTTGAAAATATCTCTATTTTAATTTAATTCTCAGATTTGTTTTTCATTAAGTTTTTTTTTTATAGTTTCATTTATATTTTCTTTAGACTCTGTATTGTTTGTATAATATAAGCTATTGTTGTGCCTGTATATGTTGTGCCTGGATACCATTGTATACGTAGTTAAGGGATATGCAAATAAATTTGCAGCCTTTGAAATGTACTTAATAATTTTACATTCGTAATTGTTAATAGTAGGATAATGTTATTTTTTTCAGGCTATCCTAACTATATGCCATTTTAGTGTATCTATTTATGTTTTAATGATGATATAGTTATTAAGTTTTAATGTTTAGTTGTAGATACTTCCTCCCTTTCCAAAGATAAACATAGATGAGTATAATTGTTTCTTTATAAGTGTTCAAATAAAGCTGTGTTCACAAATGTGTGTTTTATTTTGGGGGGTTATATTTTTGCACTGATGAAAGTGAAAATCAATAATGGAACTAAAAATAAATACATAAAACGAATTGTAGGATAGAATATTGAAAATATAAATCAACAACAGCACATTATTACGTTAATGCAAAAAACTACTTTATATATATATATATATATTGTAGAATCTATATTCAATGCTAGTAGACCCGATTGTCCCTGACGTCACAACCGCCACTGCCATCTAGATCGTCGATCACTGCCTGTTTGATGTGTGCTCGCTTAATTGATGGCCGTGGGTTTGAAACTTGATGCCTAATCATTACCCCTGTTTGTCGTCAACATATTTATCATTTACAGATTTATAGACCCTTTTCACAAACATTTAGGGTGTTTGCTATAAACAGTATCAGTGGACCAAGCTTCGATAGAGGAAAATCATTAGTGTACTCAGAGCTAGTCAAAGGTTTTTGCTAAAATAATCTTTTACAATGTGTTTGTCTGATAGGTCCAGAACTATTGTATTGGGCGAAGTATTATCGAAGGTCTACAAATCAGTAATCATCAGTGGTTCTGGTTTAAAAAATTAAGTTAAAATTGTCAATCAGTAAATTAATTTAAGCAACGTTTTTACAATATTTTTTATTTTCAGAATAACAAACTTGCTAACGATGTTAGAGTGTTTACAATGTTTAAAAAATCTAAAACATCTAGCAAACATTGTAGAAATATTTTTATAAATTTTCCGAAATCCAATTTGACAATCTTTTAAACCATTCTTACGAGATAGAGTCATTTGTTTAAATTGTTTAAAACAACAAAAAACAATTGTAACTTCTGAAGTATTAGGGCTTACTGTATGGATTATACTCATTTTATTATTTGATAGTTAAAAAGTCTTTTACCTCATGTTCAAATCTTTTATTCCACGTTATTTTATAAACGAAGATCTTCTTAATAAATATTAAAACTTAGTTATTATAAATATAAACACTTAGATAAAGATAGTGATGCATTTCGACAACACGATACAAGTATAAACTGTTCGCCTACAACGCGCAGTTTTAAATTAGATTGGTGTTGCAAAATTACAAAATGTCACTCTAAGAATAAGTACGGTAATCTTACTAATATTATAAATGTGAAAGTTTGTGTGTTTGTTTGTTTGTTTGTTTGTTTGTTTGTTTGAAGGTCAATCACGCATAAACCACTGGATGGATTTGGCTGAAATTTGGCATGATGATAGCTTACATTCCCGATTAACATATAGGCATATTCTTATCTCAAAAATCCCTTCGGGCTCCGCCCCAGTGGCTCTGTAGTTCCCCATGTTAACCTTATGAGTATTCATATTTAAATGGAATTAAAGAATTTAGTCAGCTGTTTCAACTAAAAAGTTGGTTCTATGATATACAAAAGCATTAAAAAGTTATACGATTTACCAACAGGGTGCAGCACTATATTTTTTTTGCGTTTATAAAAACAGCTAATTTGAACTAAGCAGCAACAAACAACTGTGATACGCAATGAGAACTGTCAAAGTAGGATTGTTTACAGTTAGTTACTTATTAATTTGTAATACTTTTTTTTCTCTATTGTTTAGGTGAAGAGGTAGAACATTATGGCTATGGTAGATGTGTAATACCATAGTATACCGTCAATTTAAAGAAGCAAATTTTATCAAACTTTGTCCTCCCCCATTGCAAACGCAAAGCTTGAGTTTACTGTAACTGCAATATGCAATTTAAACTTATATGCCAACCCCGTACGAAGGACGGGTACTCTGCTAGTATGAAATACTTTAAACTCCCAATAAAAAATAGAAACAGTATGCAAATTTCCTATAATTTGCATTGATGCTTTGACTTGGCAAATACATCTTACTTGAAATAGAGTTATTTTTTGCAATTTGCTTCTTTGTCAAGCATATTTTGAAATTAACTTCATTATAAGCCACTGTATTTACCAGAGAAAATTGTACTTACATTTACCTCTTTTTCATAGCAACATTAGGAAATTACCCAGACTTTTCGGTCACAGAATTTAAGAAATAATAAAACTATGACTGACTCAACAAAATGAAAAATAAATTACAATACGTAGTAAAATTAAGAAACACTGCAGACAAGCATTTTTTAGACATTGAGTGCTTGAATTGTTACGATTAAATTAATTTAATAAAAACTAATACGACGAAAAACTTTCATGAAATGGACATGGTTTGCTGCAACGGGGGTTTAAAGTTTGAGAAATTACAGTCAACCAGAAGATTAAACGACAATTCTTGATTTGATCAACAAAACAAGCCGACATGAAGCCAGCAAGGCGGTGTTTATTGGCGGGAAAGGGACGCCGGTCACACAATCTGGCGGTAAACAGTAATTTATATTGTAAACATAACTGGACGAAAACCAGACATCACGTCTGTCGATCGTACTGACCACCGTACAGTCGTTGACTTTGGATACTACAAGAAGACATCTTGATGTTGTATAATTTTGCCCACGGTTTGCTGTGACGTTTAAATAATAACCACACACATGTAAAGATACTTGAGTGTTTGTGTTATATCTTATCTTATCTTACTAATATTATAAATGTGAAAGTTTGTGTGTTTGTTTGTTTGTTTGAAGTTCAATCACGCATTAACTACTGAACGGATTGGGCTGAAATTTGGCATGATGATAGCTCACATTCCCGATTAACATATAGGCATATTCTTATCTCAAAAATCCTTTCGGGCTCCGCCCCAGTGGCTCTGTAGTTCTCCATGTTAACCTTATGAGTATTCACATTTAAAGGGAATTAAAGAATTTAGTCAGCTGTTTCAACTTAAAAGGTTGGTTCTATGATATGAAAAAGCGTTAAAAATTTATAAGATTTACCAACAGGGTGAAGCACTATTATTTTTATTGCATTTATGAAAACAGCTACTTTGAACTAAGCGGCAAAAAAAAAAAAAAAAAAAAAAAAAAAAAAAACTGTGATACACAATGAGAACTGTCAAAGTAGGATTGTTTACAATTATATGTTTTTAATTTCATAAATAATTTGTAATATTTTTCGAATTAGTTTATTTTTCTCTATTGTTTAGGTGAAGTGGTAGAACATTATGGCTAAACTGTGGCCTCCCCCATTGCAAACGTAAAGCTCGAGTATAACTGCAATAAGCATTTTATACTTATATGCCAACCCCGTACGAAGTACGGGTACTCTGCTAGTAGAACCATAGATAGAACTAATCAGTTACAATTTTTGTGTGTATTTGATCAAACTTATGTTGTGCGGCATGACATAGTCTTGGGTCCGATCTACTTTTACATTTTGATGCCCCCAGAGGCCAATAAATATTGGTAAAAAAGTAGATACGAAAATACAGGACAACTTAACTGTGCCAATATTGGTATCTCTGAACAGAATCTATCACCTGATTTAGAGAAAACGTTAAATTAAACATTAAACTTCACTATTTTCATATACCCAACATAAAAAATGTGAATTTCCATTATTTCAAAAATGTTCACAATTTTACATGGTAGATGGCTTCGAAATTTTTTAAGGGCCACCTTGTATTTTATGATTGTTTTATAGAATGTAAATTTACGGAAAGTAAATAAAAGAAACGTATAACTCTTAAAACATATATTTACGCTTATACTGTTACTCACAAGACGGTAAATATACAAAAAATATGGTAATTGGGTCTGATGATGATTGGAGTGTCCAATAGAAATCGATCACCACTTACAATCTTTTTTGTATATTTACCGTTTGTGAGTAATAGTATAAGCGTAAAGTAAATATATGTTTTAAGTGTTATAAGACGTTTCTTTTATTTACTTTCCATAAATTTAATAACACGTACAAAGCTGATCAAGAAGTTATTTAGAATTTAAATTTAATTTAAAAGGCGTTTATTGCGTTACATTTTTTCTTTTAAGTTTCTTGTTTAGAAGCCACAGCGTGTTCCCTGGTCCAATCATGCTGGTTCGCGAACTAGTCTGAATACACGTAGGTTTACACTTTAAAACCAAATTCATAAAAATCTGATCATTTTTGATAAAACTATCGTGCTAACGGACACACTCACAGATGGTGTTTTTGGCCTCTGGGGACATCAAAATGGAAAAAGTAAATTTGTCAAGGGTCTAGGTCCTACCATGAGTCTTACGGTAATAACGTACTCCCTATATGGGAAGTTTGCTAAAAACAACACAAAGAAAAACTTAATTTGTATTAAACTAGTGTACCTGTTGCTCGAATTCGAGCAATTGCTAAGTATTACCATAGACTAACCAACACAAGTAGACTTCTCATCCCATTGTAAATTTTGAAGCACGTTTTTCGTGTCTAGTTCATGTACGTGACACATGGGCGCTAGTGTCGACGAAACTTTGTTTCTATTATTTTAGGGTTAATTACTTGATTTGTGCTTTACTGTTTGGTTATATATCTAGGGGACAGGTTATTGTTTATGATTAGATCGTATTATTTGGTTAAAAGAGGTTTTAAATGGCTGTAATAACGGGAAACAAATTGTAAACAAAACACGACCTCTACAGAAAACCGTACAGAACTAACAATAAAATTGTCTTCAGCTGTTCCATGAGGATGAGAAATCTACAAAGGGAGTATGTTTTATCTATGGTATTACAGGCATTACCTATTTTAAAACTAATAACAGTGATAATTTCTGATGACTTTAAAATATTTGACTCAAAGATTATGAAAATACTCAAGATGTAGCCTACATAACAGATCGATATAATCAACATTTAATGTAAATAGTGTTTTCTATAAATAGCCTTACTCATAGCCGCATTAGGTTTCCAGACACATTATGTGTCCAAAAGCCTAACAGCACGACTCCCTTCCCCATACCGCCCTGAGCAATAGGGATCATTGAGATTCGCTATAACCTTTCCTCTCCCCTTCATGAGCAAGTTTTCATTCCTTTTCTTTCTTAGTTTTGTTTTTTTTCGAACTTTAACGCCTGTATGTATCCCTGGTTTTTCCTATTTCCCTAGCTACTTTTCTAAACGTCTCAATTGTTTCCTTGTCACTCATCATGTTTTATTTTCTCATCTCTAGACCTATCCAAGGCTTATTCCTGTTCTCTCCTATTTGTTTCCTGAAGTGAACAATTTATAAATACGTGGCTATTAGTTTTTATTTCTTCACATCTACATACTTCCTCTTCCACCATGTGAAATCTTCACAAAATTGCCTTGAAATTTTCTTGAATAATCTTGTTCCAGTCTCTTTCTGATGTTAGGTATACATACGAAAGTTTACCTTTGAAACGTTAACATAAAACACTCTGCTCCCATCGCATTTGCCACTCATCTAATATCTCCTCTCTTCTGTTTCCGATGTAGTCTTACCCGCCTCCTTGTCTTCCAAAATCAACAGCTTATGCAGCGATTATCCAACAGTCCTAAATTGAATGTGAAATTTTCAGGCGGCTGTTGGAGAGCACACTTAAACCCAACACGGAAGGGTGCTTGCTGTATTCGGCTATCAACGACAATAGTATTATTTGTATTTCGTTCTCGTCTACCAGTTATAAAATTTGTTGACCTCCTCCTATTGGCCATCCTGGTCAACGTCTTATAGTCTCCATTAAGTCCAACGTATTTAACTGGAGTCTAAACCTTCGCTAACTCATCACGATGTTGTCCCCTGGCACTGCGGAGTGGGGGAAGCACAGCATTCTATTGGCTGAGGGAACACCATTACCACAACGATACGGTAAGTAGCCATCGGCCTCGGTGGTCTAATGGATTACGTGCCGGGCTGACAATGTAAAGGTACCAGGTTCGAATCCTCTCGGTAACACTAACATTTTGTCTAAGATTTTTGCATGATCAGCAAGTTTGGTTAGGTTATGACAGTTTAATTTGTTATTAGAACTATTTTTTTTTTCTATTAGTAAACCTTCGTTCGATTTTTTCATTATCAGCAAGTTTGGTTGGTTTGGTTAGGTTATGACAGTTTAATTTTATAGTAAATAAATTATAAAATTGAATTTAAGGCATTTATAATTTTATTTTATGAACAGAACTATTTTTTCGATTAGTAAACCTTCATTAGATTTTTATTTTAAATCTTTTTTATATAATCTGCAAGTTTGGTTGGTTAGGTTAGTTTATGACAGTTTAATTTCATAAATATTCATTTTTTAACTTATTGAAAAACTGCAGCATAGATTTATGCATGTAAAACAACGCGGGCTTGTTTGGACGCCATCTAGAGGGGAGGTGGAGGGAGAATCATTTCCCCCACTCCGCAGCGCCAGGGGACAACATCGCGATGAGACAGCGAAGGTTTAGACTCCAGTACGTATTTTTGGTTATATTTTGATTTTGTGCAAAATTTTAGTATAACCAGCTGTTTTAAATATTAGTGTCAATTTGAAAGTATTCATCTGTTCAAATGTAAACAAACATTTTCTCCCTATGAATAACATGGGAACTTTGAAGGCTACTGGGGCAGAGCCCTGATGGAATTCCAAAGTAATTTTGTTTGATGGCAAACCTACATGCCAAGACCTTTCTAACGACACTTTTGGACATGGTGATCGGTAGCACCAGCACCACCACTCCAAAACAATTATGACAAAAATATGCCTAGCGTATTAAATATATAGATTAAACACTAAAACTTAGAAACTATGAAAAGGATAATTATTTATATGAGTAAGTAAAGAAAAAAATCTTACCAGAAGTGAAAAAAAACACAGTACCTAAATTCATGGTACAGGATAATGTGTCAGCTGAGCTATTTGCGCACAAGCCTTTGGATCGCTGGATGTACGTAGTTTTGCTGTCGAATTAATTCAGTGAAAAATTACAGTACATTAGATTAGATGCTTGTCAGTGGCAATCTATCTGATCAAATATGGCAAGCAATTATAAGTAATACCTATCTCATAAATGTATGACATGCACCAATTTTAATTTGACGCAAACCACTCACTATACTGTACTATATCGCCGGATGCATTACAAAATGTATACTGAAAAAATAAACATAATTGTTTTACATGGTTTTATCTTTTTCTCAGAACCCTCTCACGTGTAAAATCAAAGATAATACATTTACATCTTATACATTTTAAAATATTATACACAAGGAAATTTAATTGTGAACATTTGAAAAGTGAAAACAAAATCAAACCCCTTATTTGCAATGATAACGCGCATCATTTTATTTTAATGCAACCAAACCACTCTAGTTATTAAACTGAGAAATACAAGGCGGAGTCATAGCGAACTTCTGTGTTTCATGAAACAAAATTAAGCCACCTCACTAAGACAATAAACAAATTGAAAAAAAAAACTTTGTCAGTCAACAACTGGCAAATGTCAGTGTCACTGTCAATCTCAATTTGTCATTTGCATTTGTCATTTGTCCATATCGAAATTTCTCCTTAGGGAGGAACTGGTTAGTGGTAATTTCTGCTGAAGTTAAACTATATTACTGTGCAAGGTAAACATAATATCCCAGATATAAGGCCTAGCATTTGTGTGTAAGATTTTGTCATTCCCATGTGGAAAAATTAGTGACTTGCTTAGTAAATTAAAACTAAATTATTTGGACTAGGACCAGTCTCTAGTGTAACTAGGCTATATTGAGGTTAGGTTTTCGATGTTCTAACTCTTGTAACTTAAATATTAAACAATTTTAAATAAAGGTTTTAAGCCGTCGTAGGAAAACTTAGCTAAGTTTTATGCCTATATAGTTTTGTTATTGTTAGTAGTGTCATTATACTCATAAATATATCTACAATCCCTAACTTATTACCTGTTATTACAAGATAAGACAAGATAAGACCAGATAAGACAAGGCCCCTTCACAAATTGGCTTAGAATTAATTTTGGTTTGATAAATAACAGAATTTGTTCCTGTTTTGGATATTACCCTAAGAACTTGATATAACTTAGACCTAAATAACTTCCTGGGGTACAGTTTCTTAACTGGGCTGTGCTAATATCGATTCGATTAGTAAACTTTCATGCGATATTTTCACCATCAGCAAGTTTGGTTGGTTAGGTTAGGTTATGATAGTTAAATTTTATAATAGATATATTTAAAAATATTGATTATTAATCAATATTTTCAATTCGATAGTTTCAATCGATATTAGCATAGCCCAGTTAAGAAACTGTACCCACTTCCGGTAGGTATATATTGTGATATTATCGATATCGCATAACTTATCAATATTTTTGTTTCTATATTTCCAATATTGTATCGATATTGGGTTTTTGATATTATCGTGACATCGGAAGAAGTTAATCGATAACGGTTATCGATGTTGAATTTTCTAAGTTTAGGCATAGATTGAACATGGGAGTATGTTTAATCCAGGGTTTAGGTAAAGATTTAACGATATCTACATATCTTCTCATCGAGTTCAGTTATGTAACTTACAAGATAAAATCCCCATTAATATGGGACTAGCTGCTTACCCGTATATTGTTTGTGTGGTAGAAGGATTTTTATTGCTGGAGTCTTATTTCGCTGTAACTTCCACTTGTCCGTTGTCAGAGCTCACATGCCGTAGTCTTTGGTTATAGCCTACAACACAGTCCACCAGTGCTAACTTAACCTTGTTCAATTTATTGTTAATATTATTGATTTTCATTGTGATTATCTTAAAATTTATTTTAATATTTGACTATGTGTTTTAAGGTCTTGTGTAGTGTAGCATTTAATATATTTTTTTAATCAGATTCAGATTCTTTATTGATCAATAAATTTAAAGCCAAGATTTGCAAAAGCACATTACTGTAACAAGCAAAGTAGAAACTAGCCTATGCAGACATTATAAATAGAAAGTAATAACACTCAACAGGTACTAAAGTGTTAAGTATGTGTCAAAAAGATTTCCTGACAGAAGGCCTAATCAAAAATCCTAAGCAAGCTCAAGTAGATTCCTCCAAAGTAATATTGATATTCGATATTAACAATACCTATCAATATAAGGCTAATTTTGCTACGATATTATTGTGATATCGATATTATAGGCTGGAATCGATATCGAATATCGATAGATTGCTGATATCACAACAACTCTAGGTATCTATTAGCAGCTAACAGCTGGTGTATGGAATACACAAATTTCTTTCAAGGAAAGAAAATAGGCTAATAAGTACACCCGTCCTTTAATATTTTCAAACACTAAAAAACTGTTTCTAACATCAAAATGTTTCTGTTCCAAAAGAAGTGTTTGTTGTTTTTTTAGGAACATTAGTTGTAAACACGTGTTCCTAACTCTGGTGTAAACGCAATCATTAACTTAATTTGTTTCTAACTTTTTAGTGACAAAACTATGGCAAGTCTTCAAATAGGCTCTCGTGTTGAAGTAGTCGGAAAAGGAGTCCAAGGTGAAGTAGCTTATCTTGGAACTACTGGGTTTGCTACTGGGAAATGGGTCGGTGTTGTCCTTGATGAAGCTAAAGGCAAGAACAATGGCACAGTTCAAGGAAAAACTTATTTTCAAGTAAGTTCAAAGCTTCTTTCTCAGCTACTCATTTTAAATGTTTTTTTTACCTCACATTGTTTTTTAATTTATTAACTACGCCAAGTTTTTATTTTTAGGAAAAAAAATATTGTAGGCCTAATTATTTCAAAGGTAAAAATATTTATTTAGGCCTACTAAGATTTTTATCGTAAACCTTGTAAACTCAGTAAATATAAAAAATATCCAACAGCACGACTTAGGGAAAAGAACTTAAAAAAATATATCCGTCAATTCCGTTCAATTTTAATATATTTTTTACCTAGTGGGATGGTTTTTGCTTTTACCAGGCTTTTTAAACATGTTGACAAATTATTATGCCTACTAAGTAGACGTCTTAATACTACTATAGTTAGCATTTCAATCTTCAGTGGGAGATTGTAGTTTAATTTTTAACTAGGCCTACATTGATTTCATTGTTTGTTTTCAGTGCCGAGACAACCACGGTACATTTGTACGTCAGACGCAGCTTGCTCTAATAGACGAATTTGGTAACCGAGTTGAAGTTGTGCCGAGTCCGGCGTGTTCTACGGCAACCTCGCCGGGTGACGACATGCCTCGGTCAGGCTTACGATCTCGCCTTTCCAGGTTGGTTATTAGATTATAAATATATTTGTAGTCAGTATATGACTACTGGCTATTGTTGGATATTGTTAGCTGTAGCTATTTTCTCTATACAATTACTTACCTATAATGGATTACATTTTTTAGGTTAAGCTAGGTTAGGCTGTTTAATGTAAAAAAAAAACATGAAATAAAATGCAATCAGGTGACACAACTTTGCCAATTCCGAACAGGTACAATTGGTATGACTGAAAATGATTGTGGCCTGTCGGAAACTAGGTGAGGTGAGGTGATCCACCTCCACTCCACCAAATTACCCTAGGCTAGACTTGGGTGAATCAGTCGCCTAGTGCGGCTTACCCGTGTCTTCTGTTACCAGCTCTCCTGCCAAAGCCGGTATTTGCATGTATGCCCCTGTGTTGCCTTGTCCACCCCTTTGCCGCTGAATTGCCTTCCTCTCCGCTGCCTAAGTTTGACGGAGATGATTCCAGCGACCACCAGAACGGCAGGTTTAGGCTCTGCTCGGTAAGCTTATGCTACCCTAAGTACTGTCTGGTGCTATAGGCTAGGCGCATCCCGTATACTTCCTTTTTGAGCATCTTCCCTAACTTCCGCACTGTAAAAGAGAACGGACTCGACTGTAGACATCAACAGAGCTTTCTTCAATCGGACCAACCCCCATCATAGGCCTTACCAAGGAGGATGCTCCTGTCCTGGGTTTGTCTAATCGGCCGTACAACTGTATCAGTCTGCTCCGGCTTAGCATTGGCCTTGATCATACCCAACATAAATCATTTCCCCCTGAGGGCTTAACAAAGATAGCCTCTGTCCTGAGGATTTTTTGGCACAAATCAGCTCCTCTTCTCAAAAAGGGCCCTCCCAAGGCTCAATAGAACGTGTCGGATGAAAAGAGTAAATTAACCCTCAAAACGAGGTTGAGGGAAGAAGAATTAAAGGAAAAACTAAATATTTCAAGGACCAAGCCAAAGATAAGAAAGAAATTTGGCCTCAGAGAAAGTTGGGAACAGCAGCGACATGGAGAAGGCTTAAATAATTCATTAGTAACTCAACATGATGCATTTTGACGAACTTTACTCAATAAAGTAGTTTTTTGTTTATTTAATATGCTCGTCATAGTCCTCGCCACCCTAACTTGAGGCAGCCCAAGGCCGCACTAGATGTAGGGTTTGCGGCCTTGGGCTGCCTCAAGTTAGGGTGGCGAGGACTATAGTGTAGTCGTTTTTAACATTCCAATCCTTAGTTCTGCTACCACAAATTTTCCATGAATTTTAGTGTATTTATTGTTTGTAAAAACATCTCTTTATCCCCACAGAAGAGCGTTAGGGCTGATAGTGAACCTGTTGAGAGAGTAATATATGTGAGCAATACGAATGTAATTTATAATATTTTGTATTTTAGTGCTGTTTAGTCCATTTTTAGTATCGTATTTAAATAGCAACAGATTTACCTGTAGCAATGACTATTTTTTAAATACCAGCAATTGTTCAATGCAGCGCCAGCCGAAGAAGGACCGAACCCACAACGTAAGCAAAACCGTTTCCTGTTTTAAAAATTTGTAGTTATTTTTAAACATAATATCTTAACCTTAGAATTTTAATAAATTTTAGTCAGGCAACAAATGGTCACCGTAGGCTACATCAAAAGTTTAACATCTACATTTACCTGAGTTAACAATAGGGCCTACTTGTAAAATGTTAGTATGGTGTCATCACTAGACAACTTCTATTCCGAGATCCTAGATGCCGATTTAGAGCATATTTTTGTCATTCAAAATTGGTATAAGTCTTGGAAAAATTATTAAATAACTCACAAGTTTGACATGTTGACAACTAACCACACTTGGAAAAACATTATATAATGTTAAAATTTTCATGTTGAGCTATATATTGCAGCCCATTTTCATTTACTTGAAAATTCAGTGACCCGTTGTTGAACTTTGTCTAATCTGTACAACCATTTCACAGGAGTGTGTAAAAATATGATTTTGCAAAATTAGAATTGTGCAGTAAATTGCTGTTTCAAAATTTAGGGTTTTTTTTAGTTTTTTAAGGGGTGCCCTAGGGTTTTGAGATAGTGCTGGCTTTCTTCATATTGCATTTATTTAGTTTGATTTGGACTTTCATGATTCAAGACTACAGGAGTAGTCTAAGTTTAGATTAGTGATGGTTTACTATATTAAACATGAAATATTTCTTAGGCTCCCAAGAAGAGTCTTCCAACGTTTTAATTTGAGAAAATTAGGTGAATTTATGTCAACCTGGACAAGTTGGCTGTTAAAATAAATCCATACAAAACTGTGTAAAAAATTAAATTACAGAAATATTCATTTATAAGTAGGCCTAGTTAAATTAAAATCTAAACCAATGTTCTTAGTTAAATTACAAATTTTAATTTATGGTCTATTTTAGTTTAACGATTGCATGATGTTTATTTTTTGAATAAAAACCGTCCCCTCTTATATTTTTTCCAACCAAAACTTAAAAACTGTTTACTTTTTTATACATAAAATTAAATCATTTAAAACTTTTTTGGCAGCGTACGAAGGAAAAGTTCGCCAGCAACACAAGCTCCGTCGAGAGCCAGGTAGTTTGTTGAAATTTAGCTTTCTTCTCGCCACGTTTGCTGCACCAGTGTATTTTATGTTATGCATCTATCTTTATGTTCAAAGAAATTTCACATTTATGTACAGCTTAAAATATTGTCTTGTCTTTATCTTTCACTGTGGTTTTAGTGTTTAATTCACCATTGTATGTTCATTGTTATATACAGTTAGGTTTACACTCGGACAAAACTAAATGTTCAGTATAGGTAGATATGTAGATATTATATACCTGCCCTGCTGTTTTGTAAAAGAAATTTTTTTACCAGAAATAGAATTTTTTTACTTTTAAAATGCTAACTGTGTTAATCGACACCATTATCAATTTTTAAGAGTTTTTTCATATAGTCCCATTAATTGATAGCCTACAATAAATGGTATCTTTGTCCGAAATTGATCTCGGTTTGGATTGAACCGGTGAACTTTACATTGCAAGCACCTCAACAAATCGCTGCCGAATATAAAAATTTCTAGAAATATGATAAAACTGTAAGATTTTAGGCAAACTATTTTGAGTTGAAGGTTTTGTGAATTAGTAACAAGGAGCGCCTTCTAATATAACCCAAATTTTTCTATATAAGTTGGTTTACTGGTTACTGTATAGATTCAAAAACATGAACTTGCCAGTTATTGTATTCTTCCTAAACTGTAGAATTGCATTAAACTTTTTTATGTAAGCAAAAAAACAAGCATGCAAAATCACTTTCATTGCATGCTGTTAAAACATCTTTATCTGCTTGCACATTCAATGTTTAGTGCAGATCATGCTAAGAGCCCTTGGAGCTTAGGTGTGCTTACTCATTAAATAATTACAAACCTACAAATATAATTTCTTATCTCATAGCCTAGATATTTTAATTGCGACAGAGATAGAATAAATAAATATACTGTCAAAGGAAGGTTCTGGCGCCCACCGCTAGGAGTGCCGTGTAGTTACGGCGCACACCGCTGCATCGTCAGCTGGTGGCATACGGCTCCTGCGCTCCTCGCCTGCAGAGGTGTGCGCCGTAACAACAAGGCACTCCTAGCGGTGGGCGCCGGAATATATGCTAACCGCAGCACTATATTTACTCTATTTGTCTATGATTGCAATCACGTTGGTATTTGAACAACTATTTTGGAATGGTAAATAAAATAACTCTTCAGTGGCTGTTTGAAATAATCATTGCTCGAAAAGGGGACAAATCCAAGATGGCCGTCAGTCTCCAAGGACATTTAAAAGTGAAAAACCAACAAGTAATATATTAGAATATATTAGGGGGGGGGGAGGCAGCAGTGTAGCAGAACGATCAATACTTTACTGAAAAAATTCTTTCTATGGCTGTTAAAATTAAAGATCTGCAAAACAGCGATTTTGGGATATATCATCGTCGCTTGTAATTGTGGCAAAAAATGTGAATTTTTCACTTATCTAACTCATGGTTTAGGCCTGGTTATAACTTTTGTCAACAACAGTTTTTTTGTGTATTCTTTTTATATAAGTTTTGTAAAAGTTGGTCTATTCCTCCTGTTGCGTAAGATATACACTTTTATCTTTTAAACATTTTAAAAAGCGTTCAATCACATAAATATTTAGTTTGAAAAAATAACAGTTTAGGCCATATTTAAATAATACCCTAATAAAGCAATTTTAGAAAAATCTGTGTTGTGTTATTTGAATATTTCTGAAGAAATTCTTTCACATCTCAAATATTTTTTAGTTGTTAGTTAACAATCATTCAGATATTGTAGGGACGTTGTCTTATAGCGATTTGCTTATTCCTCCTTTTCGATAATATCGTACAGTGTAGTTGAGTTTCCTTCTTCATTCTCAAATTATATTATTGTTTTGTTTTAGTTCTCGTCAGTCGCTTTCCTCAAGAAGCAGCCGAGGAGATTTGCAAAGCCGAGAAGACATTACGGGACTTGCGCCGACTCCGACCCATACCCAACACGCGTCCGAACCTACTTCAAAGAGGGCGTCATTCATTGAGGTATTGTTTGAGTGTTTCTTGCGTTATGGTTACAACTTCAATTTGATCATTCTACACATTGTTTGTGCTTTTAATATTTTTTTTACCTGTTTCAGTAGTTTGAGATTTTTATCTTGTATGCTCTAGTCTTTAGTTTGATTTAATCTAACTCGTTTTTACGTTTTGAAACGTTAAGTGTAAATGAAACTAATGAAACCTTGATGAGTAGAAAAAAAGAGTTACTAAAGTGTTAAGATTTTCTTAAAATTTAGTTGATAATAGAATCGTTCCAATCCTGTTTGTTTTAAAGTTCGTACAAAAATAATGCAAAAAATAATGTACTTTTTACAATTTGTAAGTCAATTTCTAGCTGTTTGTTGCAATATTCCTATTACTATTCAGATTCTATTATGTTTTGGCAGTTGTAACTAAAAACAAGACTTTATTCTCAAATCCTGACATTTTTATCTCATCTTGAGATTCTTTGGATGCAAAATTTGAGATTTGGCTTCAACTTAAAATAAATTTCTTCACTGAAGAAACAACCCAAGAAAAAGGACACAACTTGTGATGTATTTCCTTTACATCTGCCCTAATGCTATTTTTCAGTTGGAGTTTTGCAGTCAAAGTCTGTAGCCAGCTTATCCACTTAACCTTTTTGTGATTGTATATGTGCATCGTCGCTTTTAAAGTAACCACTCAGTACTATTGTGTACTTTTAAGAAAACTTAATTTGAATCTTAATTTACTAATACAAGAAATATTTAAACAACTATTGTGTTTTTATCTGTACAACGTCTGAGTGGTTATTTCGCGATGTTTTGTTTCTGTATTAGTTTTCTGCGTGTTTTGCATCGTGTTACAGAACTCTGCCAAGCGGTCTCGTCTGCCCATGTTAAAATTTAGCCCGGCCACTCCGGCTCAATCAAAGCTTTTTCCAAGGACCTCAATGTCCTTAGAATACAACGCCTCGCCTCAAGTAATTGTCAAAAGAATTGTGACTGCTTCACTAAATAGTTTGTGTCTGGGCTGTCTTGGGATTAATTTCTTAATTTTGGATTGGGTGTTAATAGTTTGGTGTGCGAACTAGCCAAAATCAACCTAAAACTTTAATTCAATTAAATTTTCGCTGCTTTTTTTCTAATTGAATCACAGCTGTTAAAATGTTAATCTTTTAACACTTTTGGCTAGTATTACCTTTGACTTTGGAAAATATTGGATAGCCTTCACTGGTAACCCTTTGAACTCCAATGGCTGATGTATTAGGACGCAAGACTACCATAAACCTAACATAACCTCACTTTTAACATAACCCAACTTTTCTATGGCTCAATTTAATTGTCTTAGTAAGTTGCCCCTTATATCAGGAATTTACAGTCGAACCTCTATAAGACGAACTTGAAGGGGTAGAGGAAAATGTGTATTATCGAGGTGTTCTTAATAAAGAGGTTCGTTATATCGAGGTTTAAGAGCTTTCTCCTCGCTCAGAGATAACCTCTATAAAACGATGGTGATGGGGGGAGGGGGGTTCATGTTGAGACAAGCTTTTGTTGGTTTTGAAAACTATGTACTATGGAGGTTAAGATCATGAGAAATTCGTCTTATAGAGGTCGCATTCACCTTGTAGGGGATTTGTGCTAAGAATATTCGTTGTATAGAGGTTAATCAGTCCTAGCCCATGTCAAAAAAAAATTGTCTTATAGAGGTTTTTAACATAATTACTATGTTGTATAGAGGTGATTTCTGCAATTGACCTTTTAACCTTTATGAAAGTTTCAAGGGGATTAAAAAAATTGTTTTATTGAGGAATTTGTTTTACTAAGGTTCGTACTAACGAGGTTTAACTGTACTTTTTGCCCATTTTTACTGTATTTGTATACTTGTGAAACTCGTTTGAAAATAATTTGAACTTGCATGTTTAAAGAAAACGGAAAAGTGATATAATAGGCTTAATTAAATGACGTAAACAATGGAGTTCAAAGAGTTTAAGTTATAGCCAGTTTTATTATACCATTAATCATCCAAAACCAAAATAGACGATGGGATTTTAACAGTAGTCATGTGAGCGGCTCACTTAACTTTAATGCAAAATTGGCTAAACTTTTACATAGTTGGTATGTCCACAGGGATCCAAAAGTCAATGGTATCGCACACCGTAGAACATTTCCTTTTTTCTCCACAAAAACCTTTTCCAGCCATATACAAGGCTTGCGACTGTTTTAGGAGTTTGTTTTTGCTTTTCTTTCATGTCATATTTTTAGACCGATCTATCATCTATCTCTATATCTCTTTTGTGAATAGCCTATTTCCGTTCAAGTTGATAACGAACTTTATTAAACTTGTGGTTAAACATTTTGCTATAGATTTTTAAATTGGTATTGCATTATTGATTACCGCTTTAGAAATTGGTTCATCAACTATTGAATTCATAAATGTGAGTTTACATTTTTTTAATTACGCGGTATGGTAATAAGAAAATAAATATCAATATTTGTAAAAAAAGACATTTATAAATCACTGTAACTGTTTTACTTTCTTATATATTGCTGTGGAAATTTAATGAAATATTTATTTAGGCTATTGAAAATGATCGTTACCAAAAAATATGAAAAAAAAATATGACACTAAGGCTGAACACAATTACGGAGATCAGGTTGAGTAACTCAATTATTTGAGGTTATTGAGGAGGTAACTCAATAATATTCAGGGAAATGTTCTGCTTAAATCTACACTAAAACATGATCTGTTTGTCAATTTTAAGAAGAAAAATAATCTTAGGCTCTAATTTTAATTAAATAACATGCTTTCCTACTTGATACTACTCAAAATAATTAATATCGCTTGTTACTTAGTGTTATGATATATTGTAAATATTCAGTTCAGTTTTTGGTTTTTCCGTAAAGGTTCAGTTTTATGTTGAATTTGCAGTTTTAGAATCAGTATAAAACTTCAGTAAAAAGTTAAAATTGGGCTTTCTAGAGCACCTTACACAGCAAAAAGCCTGAAGGAAAGATAAATCGACAGAAAGTAAATAAAAGAAAAAAAGAAACATCTTGTAACACTTAAGACGTTAGATAAACTTTATTTACGTTTCTTTTATTTACTTTCCGTAAATTTAATCACACGTACAATGCTGATTAAGAAGTTATTTAGATAAATAGAAAAAGAAGATTTTAATATGTATCACCATTGTCCTAAGTCAAATTTCAACTTTCAAGATGAAAAGCAATGAGATCTGTATAACTATTTCGCGTACGATCTTAACAGCCAATATATATTTTTTTACCTTATCATTTTTTTTTTATTTGGAACAACTTAATTGTTTCAGAGAGATATAAAGCCAAAAGATAAGCAGGAAGAAACTTGTTATACATTATTTTTAAATCAAATAAATAGTAATTATATATAAATATATATTATAAATAATTATATAAGCAATCCAGAGGCTGAAATGATAGATTATTTTTAAACTTAACAATCTGTATTAACTTGTACCAATATACCTGTGAACAAAATTTATTTTCACCAATTTGGACATTATTTAAACTAACATGCGTTACAGGAAAATCTGTAATAATTACGTTTAACAAACATGGATCTTCATGTTTTATAAAATTTATTTTGCTACAAGACCAGTTCTAATGTTTTTTGATCTATTATACGTCACCGAAATTTGTAACAGATCGTTCTAATAATTGTTTTGTGACTAACAGTTCAGATAATGATCAGATTAATCAGGATGTTGGGTATTTTGGTTTAAAAATGTTTAGGTAAATTGGATTATTATGAAAGCTTTATGTATACAAGCTGCTAGATACTGATAGCTTTTACTTTTAAGCATTTAAAGTGATTTTGTTGTTCAGTTTTTGATTGATTTTGATTCAAAACCAGAATTTATTTTTCAATTTTCATTCATTGTCGCTCACTTATCGGAAAGAGCAATAGGTTTTTTTGGTAATTAGAAGTTTTACCTTTCCAGTTTTTACTTAAAGGAAAGCAATATTCTTGGACTACATTTGTTATAAAAGTTTTTAAATTTCACTTTTATAAATTTGGAAAACATAACTTATCACATTTTCCATTTAGATATTAGTTGCTTCATGGCCCTCATTTACCAACTGTTTTGTCAGATTCTTGAATAGAAATGTATGAAATGGAATGTTAGATTTTATTGCTTGTTTTGCTGTCCTATTATAGTGCTCGGCATGTATTCAATGAAGCATTAAATATGTAATACACTCGGTAAGTTATGTTTATTTTATGATTTCACTCTTTGGAATTTAAGACTATTTTTAATGTTTTGTTTGGATTAAATAATTGAATTTTCAAGATTCATAAGATCCTAGGGTCTGTTTTGAACCATGTTGTAAATTAGCTAATTAAAGTAATTCGATAGATTCAAAAATATTTATTAAGTAACAAAACATATTTTTGCAGACATTTTTTAATTACCGTAGGATTTATCGTTAATTTAGTTAGTGATTTTATCAGAAAACTTCTCATTGATGATTAATGAAGATTTGTTGAAAGACCTTGGAACAAAATTGAATTTTTTACACTTCTATTTGTGTTAATCCGCGTTTTCCTAGGTGCAGAAGCGGAGTACGGAGAAGCTATTTTAATGGAAATCCGCTCCGCTTTTAGGAAAACCGTACCATTAAATTACCTAAGACAAGAGGAGAGCAAACTATACTCTTCATGTTCTTGCTCTGCTTTTGCACCTAGGAAAACCCAGCTTACAGTTAAACATATGTATTGTTGTGTTCATATTGTTGTAAAATTGATTTTGTTAGTTTTACTCTTCTCGCCTACATCTCTTTATCATTTATCTCTTCACTTCGTCCACATTAGGGATGTACAACCTCAGCTGAGTTAAAAAATTAATACCTTTTTTCTTACAGTTTTTGGTTTGTTTTGAAGGTGTTGGTAAGTGTAAATAGACCACCATAAAACTGTGTAATAAAACTTTTTGTGTACATAAAGGGGTTTTTAATGTTTTAATTTTTAATAATGTTTAATGTTTACCATTTAGTATTTTTAGGTGATGGAACTTATAGATTAGATTGTTTCATGTATTAATTGAATTGTATAGTCTACTATTTGATTAACTTTAAAATTTAATCTAAACTAATTATTTTAACCTAACTACTTAATGTACTTGTTCTTAGGTCATGTAAAAAAATCAAATAGTAAAAGAGTAATTCTATTTTTCTTTTTTTGCATTACATATTAATGGTTTTGTTATGTTTTCTCTAAGGAAAAACTTAAACTCTATGTTATTGAAGTTACATAATTTAACCAATAGATGTAATCAGTATTCACGGAGTTGATTGAAATTACTCACTATTCATTTTTACCAAATTTTTAATTCAATTTTCATTTATTTTGAAACACTTCTTGTTAAATAAACAACCAAAACTGAAACTCTAGAAACATAAATATTAAATTAATTCCTCTTAAAATATTTAAAACATTTCATTTTGAGATTAATTAACAAAGAAATTGGTTTCTAGCAACAAAGAAAATATCTTGGGCAGTACATTTTTCAGAAAAAAAATTATACCGAGGAAAAAACCTGAAATACTTATAAAGACTTTGGATATTATCTAACTCCAAATTTGTATTTACAGACAGGGTTTGTAGAAACTTTGAAGCCGCAGTTTACGCCGGGGCAAGTATTGGCTTCCCCCTCCAACGCACCTTCTCCCCGGCCCACCCCCGCTGTTCATCCCCCACCTGACTCTGAAGAAATGGAGAACCTGAAAACTCAGATTCAGGATCTTAGCGAAAAACTGGAGACTATTAGAAGTAAGGATTTTGTAAATTTTATTTGAAAAACATACCAAGTTCTTAAGAGGAATTATCTTAGAAAAACAAAGTATTAAGTGTTGATAGCCATTACTATTATTTTTTTTTTTATTGTCTACGCCGTAAGTATTTTTATAGGGGATGAAAGAGAACGCTTTTCGTGAATCAGTCCAAACCCGTATGCCTTATGGGCGTGCTGGGAATCAAACCCATCCCACCCACACTGAAATCTGAGACGCTAACCACTACGCAACACACCCCCATTGATAGGTTTCATTGGAAACGAGTGTACGTCAGCGTACAATGTCCGTTACGTATCACACTTACAGAATCCTACCACGTCTTTGGTTGAGTTGTGAGTGAAAATGTTTATAGGTCAAGGAATTATTAGTTTTATCTAGTATCTAAATTTATATTATGTTTTCCTTAATCTTACTAACACAAAATGTTAAATTCTTATAAAACAAGAGTTAGTGGAGACACTTATAGAATTAATAGGTGAAATGAAGTAAAATGCTTGATTCATGGTTCGATTTGCAAAAAATTCTACCAAATTCCTGTCAATTAGTTCTCACCCTAACTGTCCACTGTTAAATTTTAGGGGGCTTCTCCTAATATCTACAAAATATATATGCTCTTCCACAAGTATTGGTTTGATGAATTTATGACCCTAAATTTAATTTTTGTTGTTTCACAGTAAAATACAAGGAGAAAAGTCATGAAGCAGAACAGCTGAAGATACAGTTGGATCAGGCGCAGGAGTTCAAGATGAAGATCATGGAGGCGCAGGCGGCGCTCAAGCGAGAACTAGAGAGAGCTCGCAAGGAGGCGGAGAAAGCCATCGAGTCCAAGGAAGAAATGTCAGACATTGCCGAGACTCTGGAACTCATCACACTGGACAAAGAAATGGCAGAGGAGAAGGTACATTATTGAATTAATAGGTATATTTTACGGTTTTCACCGAATTGACCTTGGAATTGGACCAGGCTAATGGTTTTTGCTCAAAACTTCTGCCCGAATTCAGGAAATTCCATTTGTAACTCGTTTCAAATTCCGATTGATAGCATAGCCTCAAATTCTAGCCAATCACCAATTTTTTCCAGCTAAGTAATAATGTTGTGATCTAGTGGTTTCAGTTCCTTCTCAATTTGTAGTTCCATTTGCTAGAAAACAAGGATAGGTTTTCCATAAAAACTCTTTAGATCCTGCAAGAGAATTTTTTTTTCTTTTTCATGAGTTAAATTGCTTTAGAAATGCTGCTAGTTTATGCGATCTATTATTTTTTTACATGAGCATGTTCCACACAAATATAACCTTCAAGTAAACACTAACAGTGTAGGAAATTGATTCAATAGTTACATAATGTTTTATGTTCAGGTCGAATCTCTACAAATGGAGCTGGACCAGGCCAAGGAACAGCTGGAAGAGTTGAAACTTGACTATCAGCTGTTGAAAGAAGAGATGTCTGACAAGAGAGGAGACTTGGATGACAATGTGCCTACAAGTTACGAAGTGAAACAGTTGGAGCAGCAAAATGCAAGACTGCGGGACACTCTGGTCAGGTGAGCAGAAGAAGTATTTGGTCTTGGTGAATTAATCGTAAATTTCCTTGGGATGTTCCTTTGCAATTAATGGAATTCCTTACAATGGTAGTTTGCAAAACATTATCACCAATCATACTTTTCTTTGCCAACACTTGGCCTTCAGAATTTCAGCTTGCATGAATGTTTTACTCATCATCGTAGTTTCATCAGATCTCTTTCCAGTTGGTTATGTCAACAACTGTTTACAGACTGTGCTATGTAAAAAAAAAGTGAGCACAAATTGACTGATGTTGAATATTAAGCCCAATAAAAACGTCTTTTGTTGGTAATATATATTTAAATGAACATTTATTTTCAGAATGCGTGATCTTGCAGCACATGAAAAACATGAAATGCTCAAGTTGACTCGCGATTTGGAAGCTAAGAAGTCTGAAAATGCTGATTTGGCAAAGCAAAATGAAAAGCTCGTCGCAAAAACGTCTGAATTGGAAAACCAAGTTACTGATCTTCACGAGCAGGTATCAATTATCCTTGAGCTATGTTTGATCACATGTAAGAGATTTTGTCTGTTTTGGCTTAAGTAAGTCTTAGGATACAAAATACTTTTTGTCAAGAGACTTTGAAAATTCAATTTGTGAACATGATTGTATAGTTTTAAATTTTCAGGTAGATGCAGCCCTTGGGGCCGAAGAGATGGTGGAACAGCTCGGACAGCAGAAGCTTACTCTTGAAGATCGGCTGAAGGAGATGGAAGAGACCATAGCAGATCTGGAAGCTCTTCAAGAAGTGAACGATCAACTCCAGGAGGACAGTCGTGAGCTAGAGCTGGACCTACGAGAGGAGGTGGATTTGGCTCTTGCTGCCACGAGAGAGGTAACTAGACTTGGTACATACTGTGACAGATTTGGAGGTTCTTCAAGAAGTGAACGATAAACCCCAAGAGACAATCATGAGCTAGAGCTGGACCTACGAGAGGAAGTGGACTTGGCTCTTGCTGCCACTAGAGAGGTAACTAGATGTTGTATATAGTCTGGGGGTTTTGGGGGAGAGGCTATGGCAGATTTGGAGGCTCTTCAAAAAGTGAACGATCAACTCCAGGAGGACAGTCGTGAGCTAGAGCTGGACCTACGAGAGGAGGTGGACTTGGCTCTGGCTGCCACCAAAGAGGTCCATAGCCATAGACATGCTAGACATGGTGCACAGCAACATTTGTTGGAGGGAGAGATCATAGCAGATTTGGAGGCCTTTCAAAGAATGTATCTAAAGCGCCTAATGTATCTAATGTACACTGAAGCATTATTGAGTCTTTATCCTCTTACAGTTTACCCTAACTTAAACATTATACTTTTTGTCCCTAACCATCTCATTCCTTGTAGGCTCTAAGGCAGAAAGAGGCCATTCTTGAAAGTCTTGCCGATCGAGAGCTGACCATAGTAAAATTCAGAGAATTGGTCAACAAGTTGCAAGAACAGAACCAGGATCTACGGGTGCAGCTTGAAAAGGAATCCACCAACAAGTCTCAAGTCGCTCACGTTCTACCAGAAATGCTCGATTTCAAGGTACTGTTTAGGAAATGGAATTTTCCTATCAGATTAGTAATGTCAAGAGACATTTTTTAATGTCTTGGATAAAATCTCTTTGTTCTGCATATGTTTAAAACTTAATATTTATTTTTGGAACTTTACACAAGAATTAGAGTAGTGCTAGGTGCTAGGACATTTAAACAGGTATATCCTACATAATTGAAAACCCTGTCTTTGAATCTGGCTGAATCAAATAATTTGATCATTTTAAGGAATAAACAATCACTATGTAAAAGATAGGGTGTCTTAATTGGTTGTGTGGGGATCATAACCTGGTTGCGATCTTTAACAAAGCAACTCCCTGTCACTCCGATAGCCAGCTGTGCCAAAAATTACCAAAGACTCATAAGACCAACAGCAATAGCCAAAAAGGACATGCCACTAATGCTTTTTCTTTTTGTAGAAAATGTTTGCCGAGAGCAAAGCTCACGCCAGAGCCATTGACTTGGAGTTGCGCAGAATGGAGGTCCAGCAGTCTCAACAGCATGTGCAGTATCTGGCTGCCTTCATGCCCGACTCCTTCATGAGTAGAGGAGGTAACGTTGCTCTCACTTGTCTAGTAATCAGACGGTAGAGGATACAGAAAATTCAGTAGCTTTTTGATGTTTCCAAACTGGAACTGGGCTCAGCTATCCTTGATCTTTTGACAAATGGTCTTTGATAAAGAACCGGCTGAAAGATCATGAGCATAAATGGTGATAATAATTTTTATTCTGAATAAGACGTCAGCTCCGAAACTGTCACCAACTGCACAACCTGTCATTCAATACTCATCCTTCATTCATCCACCTTTTGAAATTTGCATCCCAGCATGTTGTAGTTTGTGTATCTGATCTAACTTTTGGCATATAATCTAATCTAAGTTTGGCAACTGCTAGGGATCATTAAATCTTAGTTCACTAGAGCCCCTTACATTCCAAATCCTGCCATTCCAAAGTTCCATAAAAATTGCCTGTTGTGAATTGAATGAGCAAAATGGATTAGGCTAGTTTTAGTTAAGTTGTGATGGGTTGTCTTATGTTAGGTTGAGTTGGGTTTGGCGAGGTACCTAATGTTGGGCTAGGTTAGTATAGGTTAAGTTGGGATAAGCAAGGTTATGTTGGGTTATGTTAGGTTTGATTACGTTAAGTTACGTTGGGTTAGTTTAGGTTAATACTAGGTTGGGTTAGGTTGGCTAGGATTAGGCCATGTTATTTTGAGTTAGGTCAGTATTTGTTACAAACGACCGTGGTATGTTGCAGGAGACAATGACGCCGTGTTGGCTCTACTTTTATTCCCTCGTCTGCTGTGGAAGTGTGAAGTGTTGTTGTCTCAACTCAAAGACAAGTTCCCCGCGGTGACATCAGTCACAACGCAGGCTCTCACCCAAGGCCACTCTGTGCAACAGTACGCATCCCGCTGCTTCCTCGCCATGCATCTCCACTCCCTTCAGGTCTGTGATTACGGACAATCTTTTCAAAAACGTTCATTTCATTACAAAGCCTGGTGTGGAAGGAGGATAGAAAAGATCCTCTAACTTTCAGGATCATATAAATTGTCTGGGTAGCTGAGTGTATGTGCTCGCATTCAAATCTGAAGGTCGCTGGTTTGAATTCAAGACAGATCGATTCTAGACACAGATGCCATTTCTTGACATTGGCCTATGAATCAATGATGGTATCTAACAAAAAGGTTGACGTTAGATAGTAACAAGACCAAGGTTTGGACCTTTTAAAACGTAAAACAATGCCAATGACGTAGAAAACCCCAAAATAAAATAAAATAAATTACCATCAGAAACACTTGTTGATAATTCAAGTGAAATTGGTATTTCATTATTCAATCTACTACTTAATGGATATAGACTGTAAAATAGTTGAATATTAATATGTACATTTAAAAAAAATATTGTATTGAAGTTTTACTTTTTATAGCATATTTGCAACATAAGTAAAATAAAATTCATCCTGCTCTAGTTGGGGCTAGGGTTGAAATATTGAAAAAGAACTTACCATTTAACAATCTACCCTGTTGTAGTTTTGCGAAATATTGGCTAGTTTCTGGTAAAAATTGACAACATTAATTGAATTTCTTTGTTGGCTTCAGAATGTTTCCTCTTCGCCGCCTAAACATCTTTAAAGCACTGAATATTTTTTTAATTAGGAGTTTGCTTTTCTCATTGTGAGGGAAACCCATTATAATTTAAGTATGTTTCTCATGTGACAGTAATTTGTTATGCAAATGGTTAAGAAAGATTTATTTAAATTTACTCCCTTGTGTCACAGGCTATCCTGAGGCAGTTTCTAGACGGGTTGAACACCTGCAGCCCGGAGGTTCTGCTGAAGATTGGAGCCCTTTACCCAGACATGGCTCAGCAAGAGAAGGCACTGGATGGATACATCGATTTGCACAAGAGAGACCAAGTAAGATAATCTATAGTCGTAGTTTTTAATCATTTGAGTTTTAAATGTCAATAATGATTGTGAACTTACTTTTGTGTTATTTGCTCCAAATAAGAAGATTGCATTTCATTGACTTTCTAGAAAGACCATAGTGTCTTTTCTACTGTCCTTCTGGTTAGCTAGCTCCTTTACTCTAAGCCCTTTGCCACCTGACATCGAGGCAAAATCTGAAACTTCTCCTATTGATCTCTGAGATGTCATCATCCTCACCTACGACCATAACCCCAAAATCATAAAAATGTACCACAGACATGTCGACATCATCATTCTGCAATTGTCAAAAACGTGGATTTGACAACATCATCGTCGTCCAAGATCAAAACTGTATATATGTCTTCTTGACATCATCATTTTCTTCCGCAATGACAGAAAAATCTGAATATCTGTAGCTGTCATATACATCATCGCCTTCTGTGATCTCATCTAAATCTGAATGATTTCTGCTATCAAGACATCAACATCATCGCGATCACAGAAAACTTCATTATACCTGTTCAATTGCAGCGGAAGAAAGAAATAATAAAAAAAAGGAAAAAAAACAAAGAAAGCAGTTAAGGAAAGTGAAGTTGTAATTTGGAAATGGGTCAAAAATCTCCAAAAAGAACACACAACCTAATATTTGGTCTATGATTTTTTTCAGTTGGATGAGAATGTGAATACTGACACGCTTGAGAAGTGTGTCGCCTACTTTGTGACTATGCACCCTCTACTGCTAGCAGAGGTGGGACCTCATCACAACCATCTAGTCACTGACCTTGGCAAGGCTCTACAGGCAGCTTGTGACAGTATCCATACAGACACCTCTACTGTACAGGCTCTCATCAAGGTAAGTGTGTCGCCTACTTTGTGACTATGCACCCTCTACTGCTAGCAGAGGTGGGACCTCATCACAACCATCTAGTCACTGACCTAGGCAAGGCTCTACAGGCAGCTTGTGACAGTATCCATACAGACACCTCTACTGTACAGGCTCTCATCAAGGTAAGTGTGTCGCCTACTTTGTGCCTATGCACCCTCTACTGCTAGCAGAGGTGGGACCTCATCACAACCATCTAGTCACTGACCTAGGCAAGGCTCTACAGGCAGCTTGTGACAGTATCCATACAGACACCTCTACTGTACAGGCTCTCATCAAGGTAAGTGTGTCGCCTACTTTGTGCCTATGCACCCTCTACTGCTAGCAGAGGTGGGACCTCATCACAACCATCTAGTCACTGACCTAGGCAAGGCTCTACAGGCAGCCTGTGACAGTATCCACACAGACACCTCCACTGTACAGGCTCTCATCAAGGTAAGTTACTTTGTGACTATGCACCCTCTACTGCTAGCAGAGGTGGGACCTCATCACAACCATCTAGTCACTGACCTAGGCAAGGCTCTACAGGCAGCTTGTGACAGTATCCATACAGACACCTCTACTGTACAGGCTCTCATCAAGGTAAGTGTGTCGCCTACTTTGTGACTATGCACCCTCTACTGCTAGCAGAGGTGGGACCTCATCACAACCATCTAGTCACTGACCTAGGCAAGGCTCTACAGGCAGCCTGTGACAGTATCCACACAGACACCTCCACTGTACAGGCTCTCATCAAGGTAAGTGTGTCGCCTACTTTGTGACTATGCACCCTCTACTGCTAGCGGAGGTGGGACCTCATCCCAACCATCTAGTCACTGACCTAGGCAAGGCTCTACAGGCAGCTTGTGACAGTATCCACACAGACACCTCCACTGTACAGGCTCTCATCAAGGTAAGTTACTTTGTGACTATGCACCCTCTACTGCTAGCAGAGGTGGGGCCACATCACAACCATCTAGTCACTGACCTAGGCAAGGCTCTACAGGCAGCCTGTGACAGTATCCACACAGACACCTCCACTGTACAGGCTCTCATCAAGGTAAGTTACTTTGTGACTATGCACCCTCTACTGCTAGCGGAGGTGGTACCTCATCACAACCATCTAGTCACTGACCTAGGCAAGGCTCTACAGGCAGCCTGTGACAGTATCCACACAGACACCTCCACTGTACAGGCTCTCATCAAGGTAAGTGTGTCTGTATATTCTTGCACAGTCATTATTTTGTCTGTGCACTAAGAAGCTCATAAACGTGATTAATAATAAGGCGGTGTAAAATAGACCAATGCAGATCTAAAAAATTGAGTTTGAGTCTACTGAACACTTGTGGCATAATTGTCAAGCTAGTTTACATAAGATTTGAATTTGCAGGAAAATTTAATATAAGTGGCTGTCCTACATCTGTTTGCAAAGAGTCTAAATCTTGTGGACTGAGTCAAGAACTAACAAGGAGTAGCTAACTCCCATCACCCCCTCCACAAAAATACTAAGAGACTAACAGGTAGTTTCTGATTTACCAGAAAGTTTTGGATAAGCAAGCAGGTTTTGAATTAAAAAAAAAAAATACTCTGCAGTATAATAAACGTTCCGCTATCAATTTTTGAATTTTTCCAAACTCAAACAAAACGTTTGTTTATGCCAGGTGGGCCCAGAGCCGACAGACATGGTGTTGCTGTGTCAGCACCTCGCTGCCGTCACCGAGGTGGTCACTCAGCACCTGAAGCAAGTGAGACGCAGGGTGGCTCTGTTTGATTCCGACCTGCCTGCGTCGTCTGCTACCTCGGACCTTCCTCTCAGCTGTGGTCTGATGGCTCGGGTCGCCAAACTGCTCAGAGAACTGGCCAGGTCTGCTCTGTCGCAGCTGGGTAACAACACAGGTAAAATGCTTATACAGTATTGTTGTTTCTCCTACATTCACATCCGCTAGGTTCTAGCCCGGAACTGTTAAATTACTTCAGGCTAGTACTAACGATCGCGGCATTATCACACTGATGAAATCCATTGGTGATTGGCAGGATTCGAACCTGGGACCTCAGGCTCTGTAGCCACAAGCTTTACCTGACCAGCCATAAATTGATAAAGTTTCTGTGTTGTGAAAGCTTTACAAGGCTGTTTGTTTTCAACGAATGTTTTATCGCCAATCACCTTAGCAAAATTGTATTCCTGTAACTCAGTTGGTAAGAGCTCACATTTAACTGCAGGCTTGATCATTTACTTAACTAATACTTACTAACAAAATCTTCTACTCTTCCAGACAGTGAAGCGGGAATGGATGTACCAAAGTTGATGGAGACTTTGACCGTATCTTGGGAGAGAATATTTGAGAATGACCACAGCAGTGGACCAATAGCCTCTATCAAGGCTGCTGCGGCCACTGTAGCCTCGAACATCGCTCAAGTAGCACAATTACTGGTGGACACTGACCCTGCAGCACAAACCAACAAGGAGGAAAAGGTAAGATAGCATTGGATTTTACAACACATAAAATTTGGCATTTAAAGATGTATTAAAGTTAAATTATATTTAAAAATAAATGTAGGAGGTTATAATAAAAAATATATCAAAGTTGTCATTATACTAGGCTGCAAAGTGATTTTAGACCAAAAATGGCGTACTGAAGAGAAATTTGCCAGTTAATGGTACAAGGGGTTTTTTAAAGTAAGGATCGTTCAGGCTTAAAGATCCCTAGTTCGCCGCAACAAGGCAGCTTGCTGCTTACTGGCATTGTTAGTGAACAGAATCATACTATTTGAAGCTCTGTAGCTGTCGTGTACACTTCCCTGTGTGTCTAAAATATTTTTAAGTTATTACTCCTGCCCGCCCGGATCGAGATAAGGTCAGTGATACGTTTTTTTACTGCAAGAAACATATCCGATGCAGACATTCATGGCCAAATGACCTAATCCAATGAGTGAGGGTAATGTGTGAAAGTAGGTTAGGTTAGGTTAGGTTAGGGAAGAAATCGTGTTTTCAACGGGTACCCAGACTTCTCACTTAATACGATAAATGTCCTTTATGGACGGCCTTTATGGTACGATTTAGTTGTAGGTTGACCTAAAACTCAAATCGAGAGAATTTATCTATTCTAATTTGATGATGCAATTATAAATTTAATCAACACTAGCACCAACACTTGTGCGAAACAGCAAAAGGTAAACTGAGGTTTGGTTATGCGCAATTTGGGAAACAACGACTGCAGCAAATTTTGGCAAGCGCTAAGAAAATCCTACCTTGAGGTTAAACTAGGCATCCCATGTAATGTACACAGTCTCTAGTATATTTCACCTCTAGCTATTTAACTTTATTTTTGTTTTACAATCTGTTCAGTACAACTGTGAACAATTAGTAAAAGACATAATATAAGTAAGTGACTTGACCAAGAATCTCCCCAGTGAAAGATCTTGGAAAAATAAATTGAATCAAAATTATCACTTCAACTTGACAAAAATGAAATTTAAATACTAAGAATATTTATTCTCAAATTGAAATAAACAGTGACCCATATTATCCTTTCAGCCGGTACCTCCGATCGTTCTGAGGGCTCGGCAAGTGAAGAGTGAACTGGAAGAGACGAAAGCACTGAGAGCTCGGCTGGAGACGAGGGAGGCTGATATCAGAGAACTCAAGATGTTACTGAGGACTAAACAGGAAGAAGTGGGAGAACTGCAGGTGAGAAAGGACCTGGCGGAGAAGAGGCTCGCAAACCAGACGAGAGAAGACAAGATGACCATCGAGAAACTTGAGGTGAGAAACGGAATGTGTGGTAACTTTATGTAAAAAGTAAAGGAGAATCTTGAGAAGAACGATGACTGAATTTATTAGTTTATTGCTTAAAAGGAGTCTTGGAGTTTAATTTTCTATTTATCAACTTCTTGTTTAGGACCATCTTTTATTTCTATTTCCGGAAGCTGAGGATTACTTTATCAGCTGACTTTTACTAACCTATGCGTAAAGTTTAGGTATTATTTTGAATTTTATCATATATTTTGGTTTCTAATTCTTTGCCCCATAAGTCTAATTGAGTCATTGTGAACTTGCAAATTACGAAAATATTTACTTTAGTTTACAATATTAATCTAATTAACATTTAGTTATATATTAATACAAGTATAGTATGCCTACTCTTTCTACTTGCTATACAGTTGCAATTTGTAAAAAAAATTTTACCCTCTCAATAGCGAAAATTGGAAGAAGCACAAAAACAGATGTTAAGAAAAGAAAAGGAGTTTGAAGAAACAATGGACCATCTTCAAGCAGACATCGACTCTTTGGAAAGTGAAAGAGGAGAATTGAAGGACAAATTGAAGAATTACTCCAAGAAAGTATTCATCGAAGGAGTTAAGTCGTCAGTTGGTAAGTAAAGTAAGCTTATTTCATAAAATAAAATGATTATCTTATCCATCCACAGTTGTATGCAATCGCAATCACATCATAAATGTATACATTGTGGTATGTCAATGGATTATTTAAAAGACTGTCACAATCACAATAGTTAAAACTTGTCATGTTGATAAAATAGTTAAAATGGAATAAAAATTGATAAAACTGACTAAACCTGTACAGACTGGCCCAGCACTGTCTCATCACTGCCACTGACTGAATACAAATGACTGAATCATGATGTTTCTTCTTCTTCCCAGTGCCACCTGTATTTCAGTTTGTTTTGTTCTTCTTATTTTATACTTCTTTGATTAGTAACTATGTCAATATATGTATCTATTGACTGAAAAGAAGTCTGATTATTTAAAAAGTTACATGGGTCGAGTTTATTAGCTTTGAAGATGACCTTTCTTTAACATCAAGCATAAAACTTTTTTGTGATACTTCAACTATTTCCATGTTCTTATCAATAGATGTGTAGTTGTATGATTCCGATATTAAATGTTTGGTGTAACTGGATTGCTGATGTTGTGATCTTTAAGGCATGTTCTTTAAATCTTTGTTTGAAAGATCTTCCAGTTTGTCCGGTCAAGCTCATCATAACATAACAAGATAACACATCCTCATTCTATATCAGATTATAGACTTTTCATACAATCTATTTCTCATTGTAGTGAGTGGTACGTTAAGTGCGACACCTGGAAACGTAGCTGTGAAAGAATCTCCATTGCTGCTCAACGAGATCAGATATCTACGTCAGACGTTGCGCAACGAGCAGGCGGAGAAGTTCAAACTCCAGGTGGACCACATGAAAAAGCAGCTAGCCCAGCTTAAACCCCTGAATGTAAGAGATAAGATAAGAGAATCATTAGTTAGGTGTGTAACCTTTAACTGAATATAGATTATTGTCAAGTAGTCAATCTCTAGATTAAGTCGTCTCTTTGTAATTTAATTTTTGTGTTTAAATGTTTAGTCACTGATGTGTAAGAAAGAGCCATTATTCAAAATTTTGCCTGTTAACATAAAAAATCTGTAATTCAATTTTTTTCATTTCTTTTCAAAAGCTTTCATTGCAGACATATACACATATTTAACCTCATAATTAATTTTAGGTGCCTAAAAAGAGATCTACGGAAGAACTAGATCAGCTCACTGCCAAAGCACAAAATCTTTTAACGGTAAGTAGACAATTAAAAATTACTGAATGATAAAAGAACTGATCCGTCAATCAAGTTTTGTAAAAGCCCATCTCTTTTATTTTCAATATTAGTAATATGGAAATCTCTATTTGAAAAGGGTTTGCAACATTGAAGAGCGATATATAAACAAATGAACTTGTCTTGTTTTACACAAGGTTTCTTAAAGATACGGACAAATTAAGAATTGTTCTTGAGGGTATGACTTGTAGTCTTTTCAAATGTAAAGGTACTATTGGATTAAAATAAAAAGTAGAATAGTTGTACTGTTTTTTAAACACAATATTGTCTGTTGCATGATTGTCTATGGGAAGATGGGAATAGAAAAGGATGGTTATTAGCAGTCAAAACTCAGTAGGTCTCAGTTCTACTACCTCAATCTTTTATACAAGCACTGTTTATATATAAATGTATATGTATTGTACAGGATGTCCGTAAGCATATGCTGCCCACAGTGATAGACATAAGCAAACGACGGCCAGGCGAACGGAGTATGGAGCCTGCCAATCACATTCTGCGACGAATGCAGCAAGAACAAAGTCTGCAGGACAGACTAAACCACCTACAGGTATGGTAACTAAGTGTTTAGGATAGGTTAAATAACTTAAAGGGATGTAAACAAAGTCTATACGATAGGTTAACTAGAATCACAGAGAAATAAGAAACAGAGGATACATTCAATCAATGGTACACCTAAGTATGGTAATTTTTTCATTTAATTAAAATTTTCATTTAACGCAATCAATATGGCTGGGCAACGATGAAGAACCGGTAACGGTAACTAAGTCTTTAGGATAGGCTAAACAACCTACAAGTATGGTAACTAAGTCTTTAGGATAGGCTAAACAACCTACAGGTACGGTAACTAAGTCTTTAGGATAGGCTAAACAAACTACAGGTATGGTAACTAAGTCTTTAGGATAGGCTAAACAACCTACAGATATGGTAACTAAGTCTTTAGGATAGGCTAAACAACCTACAGATATGGTAACTAAGTCTTTAGGATAGGCTAAACAAACTACAGGTATGGTAACTAAGTCTTTAGGATAGGCTAAACAACCTACAGGTATGGTAACTAAGTCTTTAGGATAGGTTAAACAACCTACAGGTATTTTAACTAAGTCTTTAGGATAGGAATAACTGAAAGGTATGTAAACAAAGTCTGCACGATTGGTTAACTAGAATCACAGAGAAATAAGAAACAGGGGATACATTCAATGGTACACTTAAGTGGTGTCTAGCACCAGTCGCTGGTGTCTATAGAAAATTATATTCGTTGTCCCATTCAACTCACCTTTCTGTTCACGCTTATCCTTGTTTGATACCAGTACATTTCTACCCCAACATACCACAGCTAAAAGCGCATGGTTGTCCCATAAGCTTATTTCCTCTGTATAGAAGATTATCTTTCTTGAATTACACAATTTTTGTTTTAGATAGGGACACTTGGATGACAGGAGTATTTATCACATTAATCTTTGTTGCAGAATGAAGTACTAAACCAAAAAGTGAAGCGGAAACGAGGAGGCAAGGTGGAAACAGATCTCGCTGTATTTCCCACTCCGGAAATGTCCAAGGTAAGTCGAGGCAAGTGGATTATACGACAACCTCTGGCTTTGTGGAGAAAAGATTACTATGATTTTGATTCAGTGTTCATCCCACTCCTTTACTTGTAGTTATAGACAAAGGTTATTTTATATGTCCATTTATGGATTTGGGAGCCCTAAAAGTTAATAAAATAACATGAAAAACATTATATTAAATCAGTTTAGTTGTATAAAATGCTGCACTTATCATGATTTGATGGTAGATCTGTCAGGTGCATGCGAATGTCAACTTCATACTTGTAGCTATGTTAAGGGATGCACTGAGGAGCCATTTCACTTCCGAGGACAAAAATTAAAACCGGTTCCGATAACCAAAATCATCCAATAGTGATCCTTTGAAAGAGACACCTTAGGTATATACAAGACCAGAATGTCCAAACTTAGTAACATTTTGTACATAATATTTGCCTCTCTCCTTGCAAAATGGGGGATTAAAAGTTCAGATAAAATTCACTATGATTGATGAATGCAAAAATAGTTATTTCTGTAAAATATAAGATATCCGACTCCCATTTTAAGAACTTTGTTCTTCAGGCTCTGGCAGAACAAGAACCAGTGCTGATTGGGGAGTTAACGTTACCCAGAACGGACAACGACACTCCGAGCATCGTGCCTATATATCTAGACTCAATCGCAGATCTTAGACAGCTTCAAGAGAAGATTCTCGCATTGGCCGCTGGATCATAAGCTTCCCTGCTATAGTATATGCTTTTGCTCATTAATTTGTTCTAAAATACTTCAGTTGCAGCTGTGATTTTATTTTTTCAAACCGTGGGCAATTTATAATAGTTGAAGTCAGTGGTGGTCCCAGGGGTAATGGATCCCTTCCCTATAATATCAAGGTGGACCTTATATATTAGCCGGTTTTTAGGCTTTAAATTTTCCCGGAGAGAAAGGTGGAACCTCCTGTCTCTGGTTTTACGGTTATTTTGTCTTATTAAATCTTGAAAGCTTGAAGCTATGTTACTATTACTTGAAGAATAATCTGGTTTAAATCCAAGCTTAGTAAAGCCTAAAAACCATGATAGTATTTTTATATTTTTTAAATATTTTTACTGTCTTCTTCACTTATTTTTGTAATCTACTAAATATTTTCCTAACAAAGTTGGGGTTGTGTTGATTTAAATTGAGTGTTTCCAATCTGTGATTTAATTTTAGTTGTAAGCCTTAACTTTCTAAATAATTAATTTAAATAAGTTTCTTCATTAAGTTATTAAAATAATTTAAGTGGTATTAAATCAATTGATTTAGATCGCCTTCAACAAACACGAATAATAATTTATTAGGAATGTAAAACTGATAAATATTAATATAAAAAAAGTTTCAATGTAACCTTCAATTTTATTTATATCTCTGATTTTATATTCAAGTATCAAAATTTTAATTGGTAACTTTTTGTGCAATATAATGATGCGTATACTTTTGTGATATGAAGCTGCATCGTATAAAAGTAACTTTGTTCTGTATCCAAACTTGTGTTATTTAAGTTGTTACATATCAAAAGATGTTACTCGGGCACACAATTTGTAATGATAATTTATTTATTCACTTTTATTATTGTGTATTCCCTGTATATTTTCATGCATAATTTAAAATGCTGTGTTAACTTGAAATATATATTGTTTCTTAAATAGTTTAATCATTCAAAACCTGAAAGAAACCTTTTGGAAAAAGTTTAAAAAGTTGGAAGAATTCTGTCTGTTTCCTGGAGGAGGATTTTATTCAATCCATAACATTTTCCTAGAGTGTGAAAAAAGTTAAATAACAAAAACTTTTAAGAGGTTGGCAGCCTCTTTTACCTTGCGTTTGCCTGTCCACATGGGCCTCAGAGGCCTGTGCATGGAACATATCCAGCAAAGCTAGGGGTGAGCGGGTATAGTACAAAGGTGAACTGTACTGATAAAAGTAGCGGCAGGAACCAGGATACAAACCCACGACTTCCTTGGGCCCGAGGTCCGTGGTGCTACTGACTCACCAGATGACAAGAATGAATAGTACACTCAATTTTTTCTGTAAATAAATTAATAACCAGCTTTTAATCTACTGAAGAGAACATTTTAATCGGTGGAGTGGGATAAGTAAAAAACTGACTCGCCGATAAAATTTGAATAGACTTTACTCCGTCGAAACAGGAGTTCTTTGGAACAACCCCAACCCTCGTGTGTAAAATGGTTTGAAATGGTTTGTATCTCTTTTTCTTCTCACCATAAAAAACACTGGGTTATATCAGCTCATTGCACATTGATAATTTACATAACTAACTAGGATTACGTTAGGCCTATCCGAGTGATTTTGAACTAAGTTTCAACCTCTTGGGCTTAGTTTTCCTACAAACATGACTAGAATTAGTAATTTTGGCAAATTCCCTTGGTAAGAAGCTATTATCATAAGCAACTTGAGTAATTTTGGTCTGATTTTGGGGAAATTGGGCATTTATTTGTAGGGCTGGATACACTTCAATGAGTTTGCAAACCAACAAGATCAAGTCATAGAGGAACGTTATGGTGTTTTTAAATTTGTTATCCTTAAAACCCAAAAAAATTACCAATTTAATTGAAACCATCGTGTAGAGCTTAATAGTATATTTCGTACCTAGGGCCGAAAATGAGGTTTTGCCGGCTCGAGATAGTTTTTAAGTTCGAGACGAAGTCGAGAACTTAAATCGATCGAGAGCCGCAAAACCATTTCGGTCCGTGGTACGAACGCTATTTTTCACCACACTATACCCTATTACCACTATTCACCACAATAATAATGCACACTGATAGTCAACACAACTACAACTTTAAGGTTATGTGAAGAAATAATTTGAGGAATCAGCAAAAATAAAAATATATAGTTGCTAGGCAACGGTGACAATAACACAATTCTATTGAAATGCTATGGATTTTGATTATGTATTTAAAATGCATTCATGTTTTAAGTAAGTAAGCGGACAGCTGATTTTGCGGCCCCGGCCTGTAAAAACCTGCTCGGTCCCCAAATTATGGACAGCTGGCATCGCCAGCAAAACGTAACTTTCGGCCACCAATTAACGTATGTAATACAGCCAAAAACATGATAGTGTGGTGAAAATAAAATAACAAATAATTTAGTACATTGAAGCGTTGTTGTACCTCTAATAGTTATGGATAAAATTTAAAAAAACTGTAAACTTAAAATTTCCATGTAAATCTTATGGAGAATTTAAACTGTTGCAGTTTGCTTGTTTATGGATATATTTTGTAAAAATTTGCTAAATTTATTTCAAGTTATTAAAACATTTTTTGCGGCAAACCTAAGCGCTCACTAAACCTAATGTTATGTAAACTGTGAAGTACCAACACTGGAAAAGCAACTAGTTATTTCATCTTATAATTCCAAACACATGTAAACAAACATTACGAGCTAATGGCACTCCAACTTGACTCCGGTTATAAATTTTACCTCAAATTATAGAGATGAGCTCTAAACACTATTGTTTGCTCAAATAAAACCATGGTTGATCCTGGTGTTTTTGTCTCTATTGTTTGCATTGTTCATTGTCATGGCCATGGGATGTCCATTGTTCAAGGTTATAGGACATGCAGTTCATGTAAACTAGTGAGCAGTCCGGTTCATGTGAGTATTCAATTATAGAATTAATTAGTTGGCTATTTGTTTTGTTAATGAATTAATAGCGTGAAATAATCACTTTTTTGCATGATCTATAATATTCATTTGTGTGTAGATATTTTTTCATGCTCTGAACAAAAGTGTGAGTGCTTTCAGGAAAAGGATAAGTTCTCCCAAAAGAATGCAAGGTTTCAAATCCTTAAGCTTTGATATGTTGGACAGCTCAATCGGTCCAAAATAAGTTTTAGTAGTAATTAACTTGTCAGTGTTGTAGTCGTAAATGTTTAGTAAATGAATGAACTATCCAAAAAAACTACCAACGCACTTGGATTAAAATAGGATTCTGCAAAAAAAGCAGAGTGGGAAAGCCTCCTACGTTTTCACCACACCGCTGCTTGTAATCACAATTAACTATAAATAATACATCACCAGAGTTAACTTCTGTAACTCATAAGGAATCTATAAATGTTAAATGTGTATATGTAAATATGTTTGAAACATAATAATAATAATGCATCATATTTTTTGCCGAATTGGAAGCTAACATAACGCATTAATGTATCTTAAAATTTAAAAGCCTATGTTCCTATAATCAGTACCGGTACATAGATCACATATTTTAGCAACTAAAAATGAGCTTAAAGAGAATTCATGATTTAATTTCCAATGTATAAGTACTATAAAGTGTTTTTATCAATATTTTTATTGGAGATCAACACTTTAAAAATCAGTGTTTGTTATATACATACACATATAGTTTTAATGAATCGAGTTCATTGGTCTTTGGTTCTTGAATGATTGGATTATTTACTATAGGATTACTTATGTAGAATCAATACTAAACACTCACTCCATACGTTACACAGTAAGTTTTCATTGCTTAAAAAACTCTTTGTAGCATTAATTTTATTGAAATATTTATTTAATATTTTTATAAAATAAATTTACTATCTTAACCTTTTTACTTGTGGAAATTATAATTGTTGAATTAAACTGTAAAGTAAAATATTCGTTTTGCTTGGATAGTTTATGTCTTAATGGTTGTGAACATTTAGTGGTAAACCTTATTTATATTTTTCTTTCAGCAAAATGTTTCTCATAAGATTTTTCATTGTTGACTGGCTTCTTGCTGCTTCTTTTGTAACTTCGATCCAATTTACACTTCGAAGTCAACTTGGTAAGAAAATAATTTAATTTTGTTACATTTTAAAAACAATTATTGTTTTGTCACTTAAAGCCTCAAATGAGTTTCATGTTTAATGTCAGAGTCTAGGTTGAAATAAATGATTTAGAGATGAAAAAATATTTTTTTCCTCTATGATGTAAACTTTTTCATACTGCGCTATTCTTTTACCCTTGATCTGGCGTACTGATTTTGAAACTTCCTGTAAAAATGGTTTTACCCCTCTTCTAAGATATAATTTTGACAAAATGTGTCATCAAACTCAAAAAAAAAGAATTCATAACCTGGAGTCAGTAATTAAATCTATTACATATTACATTTTTCAGAATCCAACTTGCTAGAAGCCTTGGATTCCACTGAAAAGGAACTTTCCACTGAGCTTTCAAAAGTAAGTTGTCATTGTGTAAAATAAAGTACACCTATTAATCTATTGCATAATTTTTCTCGAAGCTGATGTTACTGAAGTATTCCTGGCTAGAACTAGGCTCAGGCATTTTTTGGGGGTTCTTAGCGAGGTTTTTCAACTTTTGTAATTTTTTTACTTATAATTGAAATTGTTCTAATCAATTAAAAAAAGGAATATGCATAAATACCCAGTAATCGATATTACATGAAATGTAAAGTATTAACATTTGTGTGTCCTATGATGTTTTGTCTAGACCTATGATGTATACCAGAGGCAGCGTTTAGGGGGGGCCAGGCCCCCCCCAATTTCACAAGGAATATTTATCAAAATAAAAAAATAGAATTATGTCAACAATAAATCTAGATTTCGACCCCCACCTCTCAAGCCCAATCGCCGCCACTGATGTATACAAGTGAATTATATTTTTAAATTTTACACTTCCATTTTCTGATTCAGATAAAAGATGTGACAAAACTCAAATCAGTATCTCCGAAGAATCTGAAGTCTCTGTACTTCCACATAGAAGATTTATCTGTGTAAGTACCATCGGCTCCTACAATTTGGCAAAGTTTAATAATTTATTCGATAAAAAAAATAATAGACATCAATAACTTTTTGAAGGTTTGAAACTAAAACTGGGCCTATCTTTGTCCTTGATCTTCTTTGGGTACGTAGTAAATTGTCATGACTAAATAATCAGCTGATTGGATTACATTTTTGAGATTATATTTCAATGATGCCAACACACCAAGGTTGTGATTTTTTAAGTAATATGAGCACAGACAAATAGAATTAAATATTGACCATCAGCAGTGCTGTGGTTAGCATAAGTTCTGGCGTCCACTGCTGGGAGCGCCATGTAGTTGTGGTGCATGAGATACGGAACTATGCGGCGCTCGCAGCGGTGGCTACCAGAACTTATGCTTACCGCAGCACTGCTGATGGTCTATATTTAATTCTATTTGTCTATGATATGAGTGAAGGTTAAATTGGTATGGCTTTATTGCCAACTAAGATCAGCTAGTTTTGTAGCCAAATCAAGGACAGCTAGTCCACTTTTGAACCACTAAAAAGCTTCTGTATTTTCTCAGGATTGAATTGGCGACTTCTAGTTGTAGTTACAAATGTGCATTTTCATTCAATACGTATATTTGCGTTAAAATACTCAGGCGTTTCTATGTTACGAATCTAATCTTATCTGTTTGGTCAGTCAGGTGACAGATATGCAGTTGACCAGCAGTGAGCCAATCCTGGAGCAGACCAACATGGACGTCCTTGGTCACAGGATGGTACCCGTGGTGACCTTCCACTGGGCAGAGATCAAGGGGAAGCTCAAGGCAGGGGTCGGCAATAAGGAACCCCACAAGTTTGACTTTAGGTAAACCTTATACATATAATTTGTTTGTCGTTGAATTGTCAAAAGTATGTAACTTTAGAACTGTCTGTCCACATAGGTCAAGAGCCTGTGCATCCCATCCAGCAAAGTAAGCGGTGACCCGGTACAGTACAACAGTGAACTATACCGATCAAATTCAGGGCCACATTAGTAAATGGACCCGGTGAGCCCTGGCCAAGGGGCACAAAAAGGTTCTACTCGCATTAGCATCTTGTCCAAAGAAGGCAATTAGAATTTTTGCTGCATGTTTTAAAGATATCTGTTGGCCATTTTTATTTTAAATAAACGGTATCAGCAAACATACAGTTACCTTGTCTGTCAAAACCCCTTTGTATGGGTAACTTTGGTATTTATTTTATGAGTAAAATCATAAAAAAGTGCAATTACTTTTGAACTGCATTCACAACAGCATTGTGGGTTGTACCATTTTGTTTAGAGTTAAAGGGACCATATCATTTTGCCAAAAAATAATAGGTTGTTTGAATAAATATAAACATTTTTTAAAAATATCTGTTCAATTTAGGCCAGGCGCACACAGGCGATTTTGAGTCTAGCAACAGTTGCCCGACTAACATGTTCACCATTGTTTTAAATTGGAGTGTGCACACCAAGGAAACAGTCTAGGGACAGTCGCACAACTGTTGCAACTGATGTTCCCGGACCCAATTTGCCAGAGACAGCTCTGCGACTCAATTGTCGCAGGACTGTCGCTCCAGGTTTGGTATCCATTGAAACAAGTGTAGACGCGCACACATGCAACTAAATTGTCGCTGTGTTGCTCAGCCTTACCCCAGGAATTCAGCTACTCGTGGCCAGAACAGTCACTAGTGTTTGCTCTCTTTTTGTTGTGTGTAATTTTTAGAAAATGATTTTATGAGTATCCGTGATGAGGATGTCAAACAATTAATTGATGAAGTTGAGAAAAGGCCGCATTTATAATTAAAGTCATTGAAAGACAATTTTCGAATATTAATTTGAAGAAGAAGTCGTGAGATGAAGTGTCCTTGGCAGTTACCTACTAAAGATTTGGAACAACCTAACACAAGAGGATAAAATCAAAGATTACAACTTCAACAACAAAGCACATACTACGGCTGTATCATTGAAATCTATTCGGTACTGTTAACGCTGTTAATGAATGTAATGCCCAACTTACGTTAGATTCACGACTAAAAAGTTGCCTGTGTGCGCACTCTAGCTCAACTGTCGCTAGACTTCAGAGTCTCCAAGTGGGTTGGGCAACTGTTGCTAGACTCAAAATCGCCTGTGTGCGCCTGGCCTTAATAGGCATGAAAAATTAAAATGGGTTGAAGTATATAGCTAAACAGGGCTGTAACAATTTACCCTAAACAAACACATAGACCTACAGAATGACGTTTGTTTCATAAAGGCCTGATGAAACATGCCCATAAAAAATGGAAAATTGAAGAAAAAAATTCAAAATCTCAATATTTAAGTATTATTTTATTACACACAATATATGATTACCAGTAGAAAAACAATCAGAAATTGAGTACGGTATATAATAGTTAGACTAACAATAAACATTAAATTTAATATCACTGGTGCCAAGAGTTGTTTTTACATTTGGTATTCTTTTAACAAATATTAATAAAATTTGGAACAGAAATCGACAAATCATAATAACACAAGTAAAGTATCAAACAATTATCAAGATAATGTGTGTGTATCACACCAAATATCATAAGACATACAACTTTTGTTGGTCAAAGATGGAGATATCAAGTATTCACAGCATCAAATCCTAAATATTAAGTATTAAATGCACATACAATACTGCAGACTCCCTATACTTGGTGAAAACATTGAAATTATTACAAGGGTACAGTTTCCAAACCACTTAAAATCATCAGCACAACTAATTGTTTACAAACACACAGATTTAAATATTGTCTATGAATTAAATAATTATGAAAATTGCAAGTTGGACTCTTGTTATATATTTATTACTAAAATACAGGCCAATAATAATTACAAAAAATATTTAATCAATCATAACAACTTTTTTAAATAGAGTAAAAAAGATTTGACAAACTAACTGAGATAATAAACTTAAAAATATTTTGTAAACACATCTGTCAAAAACCAGGATTTGTCAACGTTACATACTTGCATAGGCCTACTTAATTGCAATAATTTACTACAGAAATGCATCTTTGATACAGAATTTTAGCCTCTGCTCCTGCTGTTATCGTTAAAGTATTGAAACAATTTACTTTTTTAAACACGGTTACATACATTTATGGAAGTATAAACCACAATATAATGTTTACCATTATTTTATTACTTCTCCTGATAGTGTGGCTTAGCCTAACCAAAGGTAATTATATTAGTTGTGACTAAGCTAAACAGATAAGCAATGAAGTTAGATTTATAGTCTCCAAGTTTTAAAGGATTGGAACAAAAATTACATTTTCAGGTATGACTCCTAAAAACTGTTATATCAACTGTAGCCCTACAGTATCTGAGTATAAGTGGTCCATTTGACAAATCCCTATATTTATTCTTTTGTTATACACTCTTCGATGGCATAAATTGTCGTTACACTAACATTATAAATCTCCTGAATCCATAGAGTTAAACTTAAGATTTTATAATGAAGAATGAAGGTAAATTTTAAGCTGTCACAATAAAAAATATAGTTTTTATTTTTCTTAATAGTGTTATGCGTAATTTTTAAGGTCGAGTAACTTTAACACTTGTAAAGAGAATAATATTTTACCAGACACATATCTTTAAATGGTCAAACCTTGTTGTATAGATTGAACTGTAATAATTTTAAATTATAAATTATCTTAAAATCTTAAAATAGCCCTAATGTATGCTACTTTGAATTTTGTACAGATTTTTTTTATACATTCACCCAATATGAACTGTAGCTTCTGTTAAAAATTTAAGAAAAACACAATATGGAGAATTTTTGTTAGTAGGCCTGTCTAATCTAACTCACAAATTAGTACAAGTAGTATGTTTTAAGATTTGGAATCAGGAATCTGACCCCATTTTCAGGTTTAGCGGGATCCAAAACCGCAGAATAATGGCAATTCTTTATTATGTGCTAGAACTTTAACATACCGGTAATTAAAATCTAAATTGGGACTTTCTAGCATTATGGGGCTGTCAACATATTACATAACATAAGAGATTAGACCTACTCCTTTGGTAGATTTGTCATCCATGGATCAGCTAAAGACAATTTCATTTTTAGTTCCGTCCGGTGCCGCTAGGATCGTGTTTTTGTTTACAATTTGTTTCTTGTTATTTCAGATATTTAAAACCATGTTTAGCCAAATAAAATGATCTAATGATAAACAATAACTCGTCCTCTAGTTATACAACCAAAGATTAAAGTACAATGATGTTATCCCTTAAATAATAGGCCTAACAAAAATACATCAACACTAACACCCATATGAACTAGACACACTAAAAATAAGCTTAAAATGTTACAGTGGGATGAGAAGTCTGCTTTTGTTGGTTAGTCTATGGTAATGCTCAAGGAGGGTGGGAGGGATTTGGCTTAGCCTTATGAGGAGGGGAAGGGGGTTTCTAAGATTGTTAAGGTACCGTAACACACTATTTTTTCTAAAGTAGGGCTACTGAAATAATAAAATTATTGTATAAAAAATTGTTGTTCAAAATTATCTTAGTATTCAGTTTAATTTTTATTGTTTATTTTTGGTCTGGAACCGATATTTTAGTTCCCAAACGTCTTCCCAACCCTAGCTCTAACCCCATCCCAAAATTCATTGTTTTTCATTGTCAAAAAACGAATATATTTTAAAAGGTCAAAAATGCACTGCCGTAGAACGTTTCCATCCTCTGAACCAGTTTTGAATTTGGCCCATTTCAAAACTGCATGCCAGAGTTCAATTTCTTCTACTGAAATAAAGTGCAATTGTAGTTTCCAATTTAATTATTCCACTGTCAATGACCTCCAAAAATCTTTCATCACTTACTAATCTTTCTAGATTGTGAATCACAATTGAAGTAATTTTGTTCTTGAGACTTGGTGTTGTTACATGACAGACTGGGTGGGAAAGAGCAACAAATATGTTCTCAAATGAAAGCGTGTCTTCCATATCTTTAATCAATTCATTCTTCAAGTCATCTACCAAGTACTTTTCATAAACATAGAGAAGTTTCGCCTTTTCCTCAAAAGTAAGCTTGGGTATTAATAGATGACTTGCTCCATAAATACATTTGAGAAAGTTTCTGAATGTATCTGGTTCCACATCATTTACTCGGATATCGCCTTTTTCTGCCATTTTGCCATCCCCTAACATGGATCTGAAAGGCTCACTATCACCCATTAGAAGGGTTTTCATGGCACCAACCCTTTCAATAGGGCCACTTTCAAGGCCAACAACAAAGAAACAGTCATGCTTTGCTTCAGTGAGCCAGTATTTTACACGATTTGGAATATTTAAATCTTCCATTTTAGAATGATAGTTTTGAACAATTTGGTCAGTTTAAGTTGATATTATACACTTATATTTTCTTCCAAAATAAATCAACCTATTTACACAATTAGTGACAAAACAGTTTAAATGAGTAATAAATCACTGTTTGATCAACTTTAAAGTCGCTTACGGTTGATGATTGATGTACCAACGCTGATGGTGATGGCCGCCTGACTGATACTGAACTGACAACTGGAACTGAGTGATAATCGCCGCTGTGCTGACTGACGACTCGACGACTGGAGACTGGACTCAGGGCTATAGATGTAGCCCTGGACTGGACTGACTCATACCTCATAAGTAAACGAGAAACGAGACGTTTTGAGTTTGACACTGACTGACATAACCACAACAATATGTCGCGAACGCCGAACACAGCCGTTTCCAAACACGAAGCTGATTGGTGTGGGATGCGCCGATGCATCGAATTGAATACAAATTTCGATTCAGCATGCATCAAAATCCCGATGCGGATGCATCGATTATTTGGTCCCGATG